TTTGAATGTCAAAAAGATGTGGGTTAATGGGACATTAATCCAACATCATAGAAATAAAAGATATTCAGAGGTCTACCGACACGGTCTTCCACTTTTGTGATTAAAACAGGTGTATTTATATATATCAAGCTCTAAATCGTCCCCAGTCTAGAAAGTATGTTAATATATCTAACAGAAACTATTAAATACAAATTTGAAAATCGTTATTCTTTAATGCAAACAATAAGGAAACCTCAGCTAATGTTGCAGGTGAGGATAATGCAGTTGTGCAATGATAGGTGGCGTTGCCACAAAAATTAGAGAGAATAAAGTATAGTTCCAGCCCCGGTAAGGAAGTAAAGAATCGGATCTACTATAACATTGTTATATAAATTTTCTTGGCACTATATATATTCATACCTTATATATCATGTACTGTATTTCGACGCTAGATTAAAACTGACGAAGAAAGGTAACATCCGGCCACCGAAAGATTTAATATTTTGTGAAGCCTAGGTAGTCGAGTGGTCTAGCGCGTCGGATACAGTGCAGGCGATTTGGTGTCACGATATCTAAGTAGCATAAGCTCGAATCCCGGCGAGGGAAGAACTAAAAATTTGCGAAAGCAAATTTACAGATCTAACATTGTTGGGCTGATGTTAAACGAGTTATGTATATATATATATAATTTGTTCGCTTCGCAACGAAGAAGTATTTTTATTTACAATTTAAACTTCAACTGGCTGACCGAGTAAATTACATTTTGTTATATGGTATGACGTAAGGCACACTATTTTTAGCACCTGAGAATAAAGCGTTGGTAAATATTTATTGCGTCCGTTGTCAATACAGTGTCAAATACTTCTTCTTTATATCTGTAGGTAAATATAAAACACACTTGTAACTATAATCTAGAAAACAAAATAGCGATTTAATCATTTATTGCATGTCCAAATGTTTTGTTCATGTTTGATAACCAAACTAGGGAGTTGTTGGATATACCATGAGAAGTGGCGAGAGATATTTATCTATGATATTTTTTTTCGATTAAATCCGAAAAAATGGAAACAACACTAAATCTTTATAAATTTCATGCGTCCGAAGTGCTTTTCTGAATTTACATTCATCAAGAACGCTCAAAGCCGAATATTTGTAAGCCAACTATGTATAATAACCGACTAAGTTGAAAGTATCTAAAAATAATCGCCAAATCGATTTAAGATCAAGTTTGCCTGAGAAAGTTTAAATCTTAGTTTCTGAATAGTATCTTAATTTGCAAACGGACAATTTCAGAAAAGAGGTATGAAATAACCAGCATTGGTAAACTCATTTTTGAGTATCTCGATTTAGTTTTCTACTGTGCCAACCCTTAGAATAAGTAATACAAATGCCTTTAAGCAACAATAAATATAAATAACATAAGTGGGCTTATTTAGCTTTAGACTAGATAATGTGGGTACATGAACTGTAACTGCTAGTACCAACGGCTTTTACAACACCGTTTCGACGTAAGATGTTTTGTAATCTTTCTTTTATTTTTCCATTCTATGAGAGTTTGTGCCATTTTCCCCTGAATATTGTTGACATTTTAATGTTCGAATTTGCTTGTATCCCACAAAGTTCGACATGTAGAAGAAAGAGTGAGAACAAATCGGCTTGTTTTCATAATATTGTGATCGAAAAGTATTAAAAGCCCCATGTGGACTGTTCGCTTGTTTCAGTCTAGTACAAATGGGAGCGCTTTCATGTCACTTTCTGGCGCGTAATAATGTTGTTCCTTTATGTGAAATGTCATTATTTGATATTTTTTTTACTTTTATGTATCAATAAGTAATGTTACTGTTTCCCCCTAATTTCATATTTTGCATATTGGGAGACATATGGAGACCGCATTTTTCTTCGTATGAATAACTAAAAATTTACACTATATAATACCACAACTGAAAAACATTTATGCTGGTGCATGTTTAGTGTTCACACCATACGGACTTCATAAACAGGATGTTCTCTTTACACATAAACTGTTCCAGATAAACTCATCAAAGATATAATTTTGTACGCCAGACGCGCGTTTCGTCAACAAAAGACTCATGAGTGACGCTCGAGTAAAAAATGTTAAAATGACGAACAGATAAAACAGGCTCCAACAGAGTTAAGAAGGAGAATTATGTAAATCGACACTACATGCATTTTACGGTCACCATCACGAATAGGTTGATGGATACGATGTGTTGATGTCTTAATTTACTAGAGACATGTTTGCGCGGTGTACTTTCTTTAGATAGTAGAATAGTTGTCTGATCTGTAATTTAACCTTTGTGACCATTTTATTGGGCATAGCAAGAGGCGCTTAACAAGTCGACATACATGGACTCGCTTTGCTTTGTGGTTCATTCTATTCCACTCAGTCTTTGTTTGTTACCTTTATTTGTCTCTTCTATATTAGTTTGAGACTTGAAAATCGGTAAATTACTATCAGCGTGATTTCTTATGCTTATACATTTGTATAAATCAGATTGTTAACCATATGATTCTATAAATAGAAAAGGGGTTTTTCTCATTTTACGATACCATAAAGTTAAATTGAATGATCTATTTAATTTTGTCATGTGACACAAGGCGCGGACAATTTTGGCAACTGTGAATAAAGGGTTGATAAATATTTATATTGTTGTTCAGTAACACAATCAACACTGTATAGCACTTGTAAGTAAGTTGAACTTAATATGCAATTGTTTTTGTTTTTATTTTGTATTTTGTAAACAGGCTAATTATGACAATTAATAGTTTGATATCACGCATCTTCCTTACTAGTATTTGAAAAGACAAGAAAAGGAATGCTTGTAAATAAGGCAGCAACCTATCAACTGCTTAAATATATATCTTATGATAAAGTTAAAACCCTGTTGGTGTTCTTATTCTTCATTTTGACGGTTTTTAAGGCCTTTGGTGAAGTATCGAAGAGCTCAAACCATACACCATAGTTTCTTGAATAATTGTGTTCCTTATACTCATAAACAGAATAAAAGTATCATAGAGGCTCAAGCATAGAGGTGTTATATGCGCATTTAACTGATAGTGTTCAGGATATTTAACTTATTTCAGTTTAAACATCCGTTGTGTCATTTAACCTTGAAGTATGAAGCATTTGAATATAATTCTATGAATTTATTTTTCTATAAAAAAGTCCCCGATTAATATATGAGATAGGGTCAGGCTTTGAAGATGAAGACGTATTGGACAAGTTTATTTTCCTCTTGAAGCTAAAAATAGTGTTTTCAAATCTTATTTTCAATTTGTCACGTGTAACCTTATACACACTTTAAAAATCTCAGTTACTTAAACTATTGTTTCATTGATCAGATACCTTGCCACCAATGTTTTAACTTATTTTTTTACATTCCATGTAATGCGACCTTAAAGACCTAAATTGAAATTAAAATTACTATACAATTTTATAGTAGTTGTAGAATAACATACTTTATTACAGCTATAGTGTTTTCGATAATTAGACGGTACTGCAAGAAGGACAATAAAAATCATGATTTAATTTTAACTTTTTTTTAGATAAAATTTGTTGACAACAAACGATGAGAAAAGGTCAAATAGTAATAATAATTCTGTGTTTCGGTGGTTATTCTGTCCAAACTATTAAGCAAATTGAGATAGCACCAGACATTCCTACCAATCCATATATTAGTGGAAGAAAATATGGTGCGGTTTTACACAGATATCGAAAAGAATTGTCGAATAATTATGGACCACATTCTACTTACATTGCTCCGAATGGTCTGACGTGTTATGTATGTAGACCAGGATTTCGTAAGTTATCAGATTGTTTTGTGAACAAAACAATAGCATTGTGTGAGCCATGTCCAAGTGGCGAGTATAACAGTAAACACAGCAGAGCTATAAGGTGTGCGCGTTGTGGTACATACTGTGTAGATCATCACGCCGTAATTACACACCAGTGCAATGCAACAACAGATATAACATGTCGCTGTAAAAACGGTTATTATAATCACTCTAAAGGCAGTCGAGAATGGATATGTGTCCCTTACAGCAAATGTCCTCCTGGAGAGGGGGTATATGTTCAAGGTATTCACATTATATATTTAAAAATGATAACCACTTTTGTTGGTCTTTCAGAATTAGATCGAGAAGGCCAATTAACAAATGCAAAATAGTTTAGCAGTACTTGACAGTCAGTGCTGAAATGCGTCAGAGCTTTAGTTAACTAGATATTTTGTTATTTCTTTTCTATATAGCGCAAAAAAACATACATCGCAACGCTGAACATTATTTCCAATCTGATAGAACTTTTAAATTTAATGCCGCACTTTTAAAAATTTGAATGTTTTGTTTGCTTAGGTTTAAAGATGATTTCAGATTTCGTAGATTGTATTCGTGTAATATTGTACTTGACATTTGATATATTAGATATTAAATAATTTTAAGAGTGTAGACCTGGTTGAAGAGAAACAACACTTTGAAACAGTAATGCGTTTTTAAAACTTGTAGTTAGTTGTAGCAATGCTTTTTGGAAATTCTTAGAATTGAAATGATGTGTGTTATTTAGAAACTAATAATATGATTAGGTGTAGACACATGTGCCAGTTATATAGCGTTATGTCCATAAGCATAGGTTTATCCTCTTAAATGAAGTCGAAATTTTGACTTGAATGGACCGATACATAAATCCTTAAGTCACATGAGTCGGTCTATCAAAATCTGAAGTTTCAACTGCCATGAACTGCGGTTGAAATCAATCAAGACATGTAAATTCTAAATAAGAGCGATCAGCATTGTTATTTACCAGTGTCAACGAATAAATATTGATTTTCGTGACAGCTGACGGATAAGATTTGATAATAATAATTGATTTCAACTGAGAACATCGAAAGATTAAATTTTTCATCCGACTCTAACTGTTTGATATGTAAAAGATTCAGTTTTTCTTCTTTAAAAATGATAGATTATAATCCATTTGCTTTCAGACAACACTAGTTAACAGGAAATGAAATTATTTTTTTCAAGTAATCTGTCTTTTAGGGACGTCCGAGAAAGACACACAGTGCAGGCGCTGCAATAGTAGTACATACTCATCCATTTCCTCGTCAGAGGAGAAATGCAAGTCATGTTCTGTATGTGCATTTGGTCAAATCATCGACCAAACATGTAATGGAATTCAAGACAATACTTGTATATCTAAAGGTATATAGATATAAGAAGATGTTATATGAGTGCCAATGAGACAACTCTCCATCCAAGTCAAAATTTATAAAAGTAAACCATTATAGGTCAAAGTACGGTCTTCAACACGGAGCCTTGGCTCACACCGAACAGCAAGCTATAAAGGGCCACAAAATTACTAGTGTAAAACCATTCAAACGGGAAAACCAACGATCTAATCTAAATAAAAAACGAGAAACGAGAAACACGTATGAACCACATCAACAAACTACAACTACTGAACATCAGATTCCTGACTAAGGACAGGTGCAAACAATTGCAGCAGTTTTAAACGTTTTAATGGTACCAAACCTTCACCCTTATCTGAAACAATAGTGTAAAATCACAACATAGAAAGACACACTATAAAATATCAATTGAAATGGAGTAACTCAATCAAAAGACATATTAACACAGTGAGCATACACTGAACAAATAAATTTGATCTATGCTACAATGTGCACACTTTTACTTGATTTAATAAAAGGGTTATTTTTTGTGAGAATAAAGGTATCACTATTTTATTTTTTTCTGATGAATAAAATTAGAAACCAGCTTTTTAATTTGAAAGGAATATTTTTTTTTAAATTCAAGCCACTCGTTCAACCATAGACAAGTGATTATACCATTGTCACTAGAACACTAGTCTTTTAGAACAAAGAGTACTAAAGATCTGTCATGAACACAAAATTTACCTAGAGAAAAATACATATAAAGAAGACCGAAAAGGTGTTTCCTAATTTAGGTCAGGCATATGCATGTTTGGAGGAGTTTAACATTTAAGGACTCAACTATCGTCTTTGGATTTGGATTAATGGAATAAAAGTGTAAGAAAATGCATTATTCGTTAGATGTTTCTTTTATGTTAAATGTTAAAACCTTTCGAAGTACTAAAGTTTTTATACCGCCAGGCATAGATGACCTTAAATTTGTCACACTTTTTGGATTTTTTCCACAGCTTTTTGATTTCGTATCGTAACTGATTTTGCCCTCAAACTGTTTTGATTTGAGCGCCACTGATAGGAAGACAATAAAGACAAAACGAGTGTCTGACGTACTTAATTATGTGCGTGGTATCTGAAATAAGTTTTTATTATTAACTTTTGTACAACTCATATTTTTCAGAAAACATTTTAATACTGGAGATTGTTTTACCACTTCTTATATGTATAATAGTAGCGTTGGCTGTTGGACTGGTTTTACTCTGGCGACAGGGATATTTGAAAAACTTGTTATCTTTATTGTAAGTCAATGGGTTAATAGGGATCGGTAAATAGCTTTCATTATTTGTTAATAGGTATTGATATACAGCTTTCATTAATAGATCTTTCAATATTTGTTAATATAACAGATAAAGTAAAACCGAATTAATATAGAAAAACACCTTTTTTACGTAGCAGAATAAAAATCCATATCTGTATCAATAAAAAATCATATAGAAACAATCAGATTTGTGTCAAAGTAATTGTTCACAGTTGCTATCTCAACACGTGCTACTGGACACAGCAGTAATCAGTTTTGTGTATATATATACATTTAAGTCAACCCCCCCCCCCCCCCCCCCCCCCCCATTAAAAAGACAAAACAATACTTTAAATCATTGTGGTAGTATATATGTTCGTCATAATGTTGTGATTATTTCAAGTTCTCCACTGAACTATACTTTTGACATGACCGTTTTTACAATTGCTATTTTTGTCTGAAATTAGGTCATCGAAATCCAGAAATCCATCAGAGATTAAAAAAGTTGGTACAAAATTTGATATGGTTTCAGTTGGATTATTGACGTCTACCATCGGTAAGGATTATTAGTTTGATTCGTTACATTATTGGAATTTTCATAGCAACAAATATCAACAATTATGTTTCGTATATTCTAGATATGTAAAGTTGTATATTCCCACTTACAATATCGTGGATCTAAAAGGAATATATCTTCACGGGGTTGACATGACATATCATATTTGTAAACTATCTATTTACAAAACTTTGCATTGCTCGAAATGCAATATTCTTCCCCAGGAATTATCCGAGATTAAGTCAGCTGTGTTTGGCAAAACCGTTCGGAATTTGCATCCCCAATGTTTTTCGAATTTGTACTTAATTTGGCTTATTACTTGTTTGATTCGAGCTTCACTGATGAGTCTTTTGTAGACGAAATGCTAGTCTTGCGTACAAAATTACGAGCGTGGTATAATTGATGAGTGTATTTTCATTCCTTCACTTTCGTGTATTTGAATGGTTGTATATAGAACAGTCAGTATCCAATCGAAGTGTATCAAATTTTATACAGATTTACACATGAACATGGCCTTCTTCCAAATTGTAAGTAATGAGAAGGCTTGGTGAAAAAGGAATTCGAAATATAGTTTCAATTAAATGTTCATTACATTACTAGAAATGAATGCTGCGGTGCATCATATTTGTTAAAAATTCCTCATCATTGCATTTTAAGATCAGTTCAAATTTTGACCTTCTTGCAAAGAAATGGAGTTTGGTATTTCATTAAGTAATTGATTCACATTCCGTCCAGCAATTTAGATCTTTCTGTTGTGTTAACAATTTTAGGGTTTTATTTTGCCAACTAGTTATTTAAATATTTCTCTTTTCAATGCAATTTAGAATGTTACATTCGGTACCTGGAAAAATCTTTGAAGTACTAATTTGAAATCTGTGTTTAGTGTTGTTAATTGAATATATCTCTTCCTAGTCGTACTGACACCTTTAGAGAAGTAAAAATCATCTGCAGTTATTTTATATTGTATGAACATTCTTTAGATCAAAGTGGAAAGACAAATGAATCTACAAAAGAGTTTCCAAATGCCACCGAAACGGTTTCTGAACTACCTTCTAATAGATGTACTGATTCGGAGCGAGACCATGAATTCCTAGAAAGAAATAAAGAAAAAGAATGGCTTGCCGTTTTCAAAACAGTTTCCAATAATATAAATGTACAAAAATGGAAATTAGTTATAAGAACATTATTTTGTAAGTACTATTGCGCTTAATTAAAACAATTAATAACAAAAGAAGGGTGACGTGAACATTTAGTAGAGTATTTATTTCACAGATCACTACGTTATTGGTTCTCATTTCCTGTTAATGACAGTAACAAAATTCTACTTGTCTCCTGATGTATACATGACAGGAGCAATACGATGCATGCCACTAATGATGAATTACTGCTTACCTTACCGAAACACATGAGTTCTTTCCCTGTTATTTGTTATGTTCGATCTTTGATTGATGAGTTGTCGTTTGTGTGTTATTTATGCTTTCTTTTTTCTTCTTTTTTTTCTGGCCATGGTTATCTGTATCTTTCTTTGACCAATGGGTTTTGTATAGTATCTTCTTATTTTTTGTACATAAACAAACATTTCAAAAAACAGCCATCAAATTGGAGACAACAGTAGTTTACTGTTTAGTAGATCTAATAAATCCACACCCAAATCATTCAAAGAGACAAATTAAGGCAGTGTGAGTAACTGAAAATTCAGAAGTACAATGCAACAGAAAACACCATACAAACATAACACAATGTTCATCGATTGAAGTATGCCAATGTTAGTTCAAATATGATGTGCTCGTTAAAATAAAGACTAATACTGGAGCAAAATATAGTAAATCGAGTAACACTCTAAACGTAATGAAACCATTATTTACAGTGTAAAATATCCATCTGTGATGTGTCAACCTTCATGCGATTTTAATATATAAAGGCAACAGTAGTATACCGCTGCTTAAATATCATATACGAAATTAATTGTAACAGCAAAAGATGATGCATATCTGTAAAGATCGATTCATGTGAACCGAAACAAAAGAAAGGGGTGAATCTTATAGTATTGCAAGAAAGAATTGATGAGAAAAAAAGTTATAATTATCAAAATAAAGCTGTTGTAGACCTTTGGTTCGGTTTTCGGTATGAAATTGAAAAAAAAAAGTTTATAATAGTTTTTGGTGACACCTGTCATTTCTGAGAGCCATTACTTTTCTAACTGATATTTTTTTCTTTTAGCTAATTATGATGACGTCACACGAGCACAAGTAAAGATTGATCAGATCTGCTATCGATATCCAAATGACGTCGTAGAGCAAGTGTATCAATGTCTACTGGATTGGAAGAAACGTGCAGCCGATGAAGCTTATCTTGATGATATCATCGTTGCACTTAAAAACGAGAGCATGCTGGGAATGGCTAACGACCTTCAGAAAAGTTATTCGTCTTTATTGAATAATACTGACAATAAAAGATAATTTAATTACATCATAACTGTAGAAACTGAACAAACAATCTTAAGCTAGTTAACTTTGATTAAGGATTAAAAAGATATCAAGATCTGCCCATCAGAACCTATGTATCATGCTAGATTTAATCGATTACGAATACAATTATAAACAGTCCTAATTCAGACATGTTTTATCTTGAGTAGATAATTTCAAAACTGAAACTTAAGCAAGAATATTCACTTCAACACAAGATGTAATTTGATGCAATTAGTTTTTCATAATGAATGAACTGTTTTTTGTATGTTTTGAAGAGCGTTATTTATTTATTCATTTATTTACAAGTTTGATCGTTTATATAAATATACATTGTTAATTTCCATTGTTTAATGCAACGTAGGCGTACATATAATAATAATCTTGCAGCTGATTTAATAGTTTAAGTTAAATAAATTAAAGAAAACTATGGTTTCTTATTGGTGCAGTCTGAATAAAATTCGGATCTATCATAACTTTCATTCGTATACATCTCTATGTCTTGCATTTTTTTGGACATAATATTCAATTTTATGATGTATCATGTGTTTCCCTCAGTTCACCATAGTATTATCTAATGGTAAGGTTAGTGATGTGAGAGTTGAAGGCATTGTTGTGAATACAATAAAAGCACCGTTCCTTTGATGTTAGTGATATGTCCCGTGTGTATGTTCTGATTTCGTGTCATGGATGAATTCTGATTTAATCTCTATCATTGTTATTACACTCAAACTTGCATTATGTAACTGCAAGTATTCTCAGATCTGAACATGGTAGCCTTAATAAGTTGTTAGTTCTTCATTATAGATGTCAAATAATAAGTTAAAAGTGCTTTTCTTTTTTCATCTGAAACAGCTCTATGATGATAAAAAATGGATTAAATGAAAACGGAACGACTCTGATTCTAAAAACGGATGTTAGATATACTGTATAGTTGGGTTGATATAAATATATACGATGTTATATTTTTGTCCAGTTTCCCATGTTGAATAATTAAAATGAAAAGGTATTTACCTTACAGCTTCATTTTCCGGCGTTGCTGAAATGTATAAATGATATAAAACAAGATAAGCGTCTTTGACCTACTTTATCTCTTTATTCGGATACTTGCTGATATCTTCTCAAAGTTCAACGGGAATATAAGAAAAGAACCCGGATAGAACCAAGAAGTTGGGTTCCTATTACCAAACAACCCGGATGTTGAACCAGTTACCATGGTTTCGAACCAAAGAACCCGGATAGAACCAGGGTTCATAACCAAAAGACCTGGATGGAACCAAGTTTTTGAACCAGAGTGCCCGGATAGAACCTAATTGCATTCTGAAATCTGATGAATTTTTCCAAATCATTAATTTATTTAGTATATTTATATATGATTTATTTGATTTATAATTGCCTGTTTGGAGTCGACGGTTTTGAAAATAAAATGAAAAAGTATAATCACAAAAAAACTGAACACCGAGGAAAATTCAAAAAGGAAAGTCCCCAATCAAATGGCAAAATCAAAAAAACAAACACATCAAACGAATGGATAACAACTGTCATATTCCTGACTTGAATAAATTTTTTGTTGAATAAAGTTTTATTTGATTTAGGTGATCTGTCCTTCAAGATAAGCCCCCTATAAGACAAATAACCTGCAAACACATAACACCAAATGCTTAATTAACACGTGTTTAGATTGATATATTCGAAAAATAAAGTTTTACTGCATTTCATTTCATAAAACATAATTTTTAACAGTAAAACCTAATGTTTTATTTGAGACTTGAAACATTATTCTCCAGAAGTCCAAGCTCCTCTAGCTGTTCACTGTTACATTGCAACTTTCCAATTGTCAACTTCCCATTTTTCAGTTTTAACACATCCTCTGCTCAATCATATAACGGTTTCATATATCAGCTTATACTTTACCCTTGTGCATGTTCTCACTATTTGGACTTCATAAACATAATGTGCTCCTCACACAAAAACAAAAATCGACACTAAATTAGTTTTACAGTCACCATCATGAATTGGTTGACCGATATGATATATCAGTGTCTCCACTTACTAGCAACATATTTTCACGGTATTAGATATTTAGATAACAGTAGAGTCGTCTGATCTGTACATTTACCGATTGTATCGTATTCCTGATAGTGACATTTAAACTAAGTGTTTTACGGTCACTGTCATGAATTGGTTGACCGATACGATGTGTCAGTGTCTACACTTACTAGCACATATTTTCACTGTATTATATCTTTAGATAACAGTAGAATAGTCAGATCTGTAAATATACCGATTGTATCGTATTCCTGATAATTACATTTTAACTGAGTGTTTTATGATCACTGTCATGAGTTAGTTGACCGATACGATGTGTCAGTGTCTCTACTTACTAGCAACATGTTTTCACAATATTAGATATTTAGATAATAGTGGAGTCGTCTGATCTGTAAATTTACTGATTGTGTCATATTCCTGATATTAACATTTTGACTGAGTGTTTTACAGTCACCGTCATGAATTGGTTGACCGATACGGTGTGTCGGTGTCTCTACTTAGTATTAACAGTATTAGATATTTAGATTGGAGTAGAGTCGTCTGATCTGTACATTTACCGATTGTATCGTATTCCTGATAGTGACATTTAAACTAAGTGTTTTACGGGCACTGTCATGAATTGGTTGACCGATACGGTGTGTCGGTGTCTCTACTTACTAGCGACATGTTTTTACAGTATTAGATATTTAGATAGCAGTAGAGTTGTCTGATATGTACATTGACCGATTGTGTCATATTCCTGATTGTTACATTTAGACTGAGTGGTAATTCGCAGGCGGTTGGTGCATGTATAGACAGTTAAGCTAACCCTGTTGACGCACCCGGTTTCGCTTCTTTTGGAGTTCATGCGAATTCCTCAATTCTTGTTTGTTACCTTGATTTTTCTCTTCCTAATACATTTACGAGATTTAAACATGGGTAAACTACGTTTGTCTTAATAGGGAAGTAACCAGTTGAAAATGTTACTACTAAAATATTTAAGAAATAATTCATGGGGGCTTGAATATATCGTGATTTTACCACGGGTTGGCCCTTTATGACAAATATTTTACCCTGAGCGATAGCGAGGAGTAAAATATCGGCATAAAGGGACAACCCGTGGTAAAATCACGATATATTCAAGCCCCCATGAATTATTTCGATTCTAATAGGACAAATACGGCAATTGTTTTGGATCGAAGCGCTCTAGGTGAAGGCTTTATTTGCCGTTCCCATAAATAAACGCACTATTAAATTGACGTAAAAGAACTGAATAAATGACATGCTTAAACTATTTACAATAACATATTTAGATAGGTTTGGATGAATCTAAATGATAATTGTACTTATATGTCTTATATGTATACAAAAAATGGCTTATATAACACATTTTAGCATCGTTTGTTTACGTTTCCTTGTTGTGATGATTTTCGGTTTCACAACCGTGTATTTACCCGTAAAATGCTTATATTCTTACGTCGTCGTTCTATGACGTCGGGTAGCTCATTCATAAAAAAGCATATGACGCGGGAGTACGATCGGAACAGCCCAAACAATATATTCATATTTTACCATGGGTGTGTACTCAAAGCGTTTGAAGAACGTCATGTTAGAATATCTTTTTTTTTTCACATGTACTCTTCTGTTGCACTAAAATTATCATAAAAACTTTGAACTATATAGATTCCTTTTCCATTGCTTATATAAGACATTCTAATGACTAAAATAAGTGGAAACTTTAACTATCTACTGAGAAAAAGATCCCATATGTTTTATCAAAAAATGTCTGTATGCAAAGTGTATACGTTATTCGTGTTTTATTCTTTTACTTTATTTTAAGACAACCCAGTTTGCAATAACAAATGCATGATAGAGGATGCTTATTACTTTAAATACAAAATGTAAAATTTTAAATGTGAATCCATTTATGTCAAAATAAACACAGATATACTTTTCTAAAACATGATGGTTTAAAATGAATATAGAATAATATTTGACCATAACTATTAGCATGTACCGGTTATAAATAACAAGTAAATTAAGATTATTTTCCCAAACCCTTGAATGTTTAAACTTTCAGCAGTTTTATTTCGTTAACGTTGAAACAACGTGTACACTAACGACAACTGCTTCAATCAGACATTTCAGGCATGAACTATACTCATTGTAGCTTTTAAAACTAAATATTTATTTTTTCTCTCCAAAACAATGGATCTTGGAATTAAAAAAATAGTTGAAGCATTAAAGAGGAATTTGGTCAATTATATGGGCAATATGATTATAAAAGAAATGTATGATTCTGATGCCCTTAATCAAATGCACTTGAAACCAAATATTGTTTTTAAGCTGAAAATATAGAACGCTTAACATAGTTTTTACGGTCACCTTCGCGAATTGGTTGTTCGAAATGTATTGTCAGTGTCACAACTCCCTAGCGACATGTTTTCGAAGTCTGATATTTTTAGATTCTGGAATAGTCGTCTAAATTGTAAGTTAACAGATTGTTTCCTATTCCCGATTATTACATCTTTATGGAGTTTAGATTCGTAAAACAGGTGATACATGGATAGCAGGAGACGCTTACCATATCGATGCACCCAGGCTCACTCCGTTTGAAGTGTCAGCGTTTTTTACAATTTTTATTTATATCTGGATTTGAATCTCTCTAGTCGATTGATGAAATTTGAACATCGGTTAACTACTGTTGCATTCAATTAGAGCTTCGACAGTACAAATATATACTTAGAATCTTCCAAGATCATTTTGCCTGGAGGAGTTAGTTTCAGTACAATGAGAAAAGTTCAAACTAAAAAAATAACATTTAAAAGTCTACTTCTCATATGGTTATGACTCGTTAAAAAACGTTATTACTATCAATTTAATTCTATTATGATAAGCCTGCTTGCTGTTAAAAGATATTTGTATTAATATCAAACAAAAATGCATTGAGCCTTTTTTGATAAAAAGAGTATTCCTACAAATTAATGTACACGAAGAAAACATTTTAATACCTGTAACTTACAACAATACAAGTTGCTACGTATGATATAGGAAATACTGACCATAAGTTTTTGGTAAGTCCGTAATTACATGCATATATATGTTTGTACCTAAGTAACTTGTTACAGAACTGGTGTTTCTATTGGTCAAGGATAACATTAACATCACATAAATATATGGTATTTTGGTGTAAATTTAATTTCAAGTTTCTACCTTAAGAATATTTATAAAATGTTGAGTAAATGTAACCAAATTCTGTCGTGTGTCCCGGAAAATACATTTCGATACTTTTCAGTATAGTGATTTCCCAATTGTAACAGTTTGTGTTATTTATTTAAAAAAAACTTCATATCAAAATTTCGTTGAGATAAACTGAGCAAGTTGACAATAACTTTCTATTTATCTATTCTAGCAATTCTATATTGACATTTTACTTTATCAATGATTGTTTATAATAAGAAATAAAAACAATAAATAAAAAATTAGTGAATTGTCACATGGTTGGTTGACAAGTATCTATAGATATGATAAAAAACACATAACATGGTCAATCAAGCGGTTGTTTACAGTATATGCATTAAGAAAGGTTGGTTTGCTATATGATTTGTCAAGATTTCATCGAAAATATCGTAACATTTGTGATATAAGTTCCCCGTAGTTTACTATTGTTCAAATCTCATAAATCCATTAAAAAGATTCAAATCATAGTAAAAAACAAACAAAAAAACTAAGGCATGAACTCCAAATGGAAAATAAATCATATGCCATAGCATCAACACTGAAGGTATTATAAGGTCACTTGTTTGGCCCCTTGAATTCGAAAATCAAAAAGTCTTATAAATGTACCATAATTAAGACATAAGATACGTGTTTAAACATAGATGTGCATAAAATATCTTTGTGGGTAAAACTGTTGCTCACATCTATTAATATATTTTGTCCAAAAACTTTGCGAAAAATGACCTAAAATGACAATTTTTTGTCAAATATGTCAATGTCAACACATTTTTAACGCCATAGGGACATAATAAGTGAACTTTTTGCACTTAAGTGCCCAGATTATATTACCTTGTTCATTGATCAATTAAATTAACGTAATTTCGAAAGTCCGGCATAGTTTTCATATTTTTGAAATTTCAGGGGCCGAATAATGGCTCTTCATACCTCTGTCTTTTCTGTTGGTTTTGTCTGCTGTCTTAGACGTATGGTTTTTGTTAACTTTCTTACCTTATTAGATATTTATCGATGGAAAATTTAAAGTTGGATCATATATTTCTGTCAAAATTATGTAACGGAATTTTACTACTCCCAGACTCCACAGTGCCATTATCAACAATAACATAAGTAACAGTAAATTCCTCTTTCATAGATAAGTTGAATGTATTTCAGAGAAAAGTGTGTTAGATGATGAATTATACACGACTGTACTATAAATAATTATATTTTTCCGATGTAAACAAATTATCACATGATCACATAACTATACATTGTTTCTACTGTGTCAACGTCCTTAAGAGTGTTACCATCAGTTAAACGATGGAGAAGCTACAATCAGAATAAAATCTCATATATAATAGTAACACATACATTTTGTTTGAAAGGGGATTCAGGCAAATTAGTGTATTGAAAGACAAGCTAGAAATTTCATTAATCATTCTTTAAATACATTGTAAAAAAATTACTTAGTTTAAATTTCAAATGTGCAAAATTGCTAAAATGCAGGTAATCGGTTCAAAACCATCAAAAATATCAAATTACAAGGCGTTCTTATCAATCAGTAATGATAAAGCTATAGTTAAATGCCTTAAAGGATATAAGGTGTATGCACTTTATTTGTCAGGTAGCGGAAAGGTAAATGTCGGTCATTAGCTGACTTTCAGAAAATTATCTCAAGGGTAAAATTATAATACTACAGAGGCACATCTATAATTAAGGTATATTTTTATTCTTCAGGTAAGCCTCCAATTTTCTTTCGATTGTTGTCATGCTTTTTAAAATGATTTTTGATAATATTCGATATCTTCCTTGAACATTTTGTTATGACCGAATACTAGAAAAATTTATGAAATATAATATAATTCGAATTGATAATATACTTCGCCTAATATTTTATGTTCAGAGAAATGCGCCTGGAAATAAATGTTAGAATTTGAAAAAAATGCTATGTGCTTTTACAAATTACATTTTAATCACGTGATATTGATATTGCTGTTCCGCCATCTTGTGTGCAAAACATAGAAAAAACTTCCTGCTATTGGGGTAGGCATATATATAGTTTGTCATTACTATCAATATGATTAAAAACACTATGTTGTTTTCAATATGTTTGATATTTAAAAACAATCTATTGATTTTAATAAATGCACTCGATGAACATAAGATGCCATATTTGATTTCTTATCTGATCATACCATTAATGAAATCTTTAGAACAATGCGTGGGAAAAGTCCCACAAACGGTGATTGCTGTAAAGTTTACATTTACGTGCGTATAAATGTATTTTGTTCACCTGATTGATTATAAATTGTGTGACATTTGGAGTAAATATATACTTAGCTACACACGTAATGCAACGGTTTATTCTAAATTGAAAAATCTTCAAATCACGCAGATTTTATTTTTTATGTTTTGAATGCTAGCTAGCTTAATTTACATGTTTGCAATATACAGAAGAATTTGAATTGAACGATCGTATTTCGTCTTAAAAACAAGCTCGCTGTACATGCTAGCCAATTTTATAATATCCTCCAAACATACAATAGAAAGGTATCTGTGCAATATGCTAAGCTCTGCATCGCTCTGAGCCTAAAAAATTTGTAATTAAAATTATAAAGTAAAAAGAAACAATAATCAAAGATCAGCAATCAAAACCAAAATCTTCAATTAGCACAAAACATTAAGATATGACGCAAGACAATCGCTGAAGAGGTTCCTGTCTTAGTATATAAACCTATGAATATTCGCTTTTCAAAACGAGAAAATAACTTTCCGGAGCTTGAGGTAAGTTACGAAAAATTGTGTGGCATCATAATCCCACTTATTTCCAATGACATTGTTTGGTTTTAATTCTAAGAAACATCAAAACCTTCAGTAATGTGTTGGTCCAATGAAATTATGTGGAAACGTTTTCTTCAATATTCCTCAATATATTCATGGACGTAATAAATACTATAATCCTCCACAGTCGCTATGCATAGTGTAAATGGCTCCTGTAAAAAGCTGTTTGTATTTTTCAAACGCTGAATAAACATATTCTAGCACTAGACTGCCACTTAATAAAATTTGTACAGACTGGTCTGAATTTAAGGTCATGATATATTACGACCATATTAATTTCTATTCCTTGAATATGCACTGAAATAGAAAGGAAGGTAACATGGTGTACTAATTCATTACATATAATCCCTACGTGCACTTTACATAATCTACGACAAAATAACAGTGATTTTCGTACTTTTTTTCACCTCAAAGTCTAGGCGAAGTCTTCAAAAAAATGTTTAGCTATTACCGCAGTCACTGCAAGCTCAAGATGCTTTTTAGCATCGGATTGAGTAGAAATTTGTACTAGATATCGACCATTTTACACCTGTGCATTGAACAACAAGAATGAGGGATGAACCTGTTTACAACATGGTATTGGGTTCTCAACAATTTATATAGATATCCATACGTTTATCTAATTTATCATTTTTTCATTTCATATTTTTTTTCATTTCCAATGTTTGTATTTGTATTTGAGAGGATAGACAGAACACCCAACCAAAATCATTACAAATACCTTCCTGTTCGCTGTGGAGAAGAACCAGGTCTCAATAAATCAATCTCGTTGTTTTATTAAATGTCCACTGCAAGCTTGCAGCTTTATGAAAATACATATTAACAGATGTAAATATCAATAGATAACGATTTTATTATTGTCAGCAAGTAAAATCCAAACAAAAGAATCAAATTTTGTTCAAAAGTACATGGTATATATTAAAAAAGATTTATATTGAGAAGTTATAAAAATCTATAATTCGAAGAAGGACAACATCATCATAATCATGGCCAATAGAAATTAAAACAAAAAGACAAGTGACAGTCCCACCACAAAAAAAAAACACATGTAATTAAAGAAAGAAAAATACTATCCCCATAAAGAAAAACCTGGGGGAAAATCTGGTGCTCAAGAAGGGTAAACATGCAGTTTCTGTTCCACTGGAGATACTTTGATAAATGGTATTTACTATTGTTCGATGAGTACATTCAAATTGATACTGTGACGGTCATTGTAATGACAAACCCCATTGTTTAATTGAAGCCAAAAACAAAACCCAACTTAATCTATAAACAAAGTCGTCTATATGCAATAATTAATGCCTTCAAAATGTAGTTCTTCTTTCCCTCAATGTGTTGTTTTAAAATTTTATTATTTCCAATTTTATGTTAATTTTATCTGATATATCATCATATTTCATATTAAATGAAAGCACTTAATTCAAATTATATTATTATTTTCACAGATTTATTTACGAAAAGAAAACAAAGACAACAAAAAATATTTCTATAACCTCTATATGACGAGGTTCATGTTTTGGAGTAAATACACATGATCAAGAAAATTGAAACAAACAATGTTTATCTTTTGATAAGTAAGGGTCAACGGTTCATTGTCAGGTGAATAGGGCATTGAACTATAATGTTTACCTTGGTTTCCTTTTTCACTAGTGACACAATTCAAATATAACATACATTTTAAAGCAGTCATAATTTATCAATCGAAATAAACTATCGAGAAAAAATAGGTTAATGTGTATGCTATTTATAGAAAAATCAAGAAGCAATGACATTTAAGTATCCTTAATATCAAAATTGTATACACTTATAAAATGTTCATTTTCCGATTCACAGTAAACTCCCATAAAAATTACATTTCTAAATTTTCGATGCAATTGAATATTCGTTGTTTTGAAAAATGAACCAGAAGATTTGATTCGGTTTTCCTCAGATGCGGTCGGATGACAAATCAAGTAAAATGCTTTTGGATGTTAAATGATTAGAGAGGGACACATCCTTTAACATCTTTATCCATGCATCATTATTTACTTTAAAGTTTTAAAAATACATTAGCCAAAGGTAATACTTCCCATCTTTTTTCTTCATAAGAATCAAAGAACCAGAACCCTTGACAAAATTTCTCCTGGTTTCCATAATGTATCTTACCTTAACACATATTAGGTCTGTACTTAAAGATTGTAAATTTTATGAATCGAAGAGAATACAGTCTAACAAATGCAGCACCTAGAGGACATTTGTACAATTATACAAATTAAATATACCATATCCTTCAGATAAAATACGGAAGTTATTTTCTTAGATTAATTTCCATTGATTGAATTATTCCTTTTGTTTGTTTAATTGGAAAATACCTGACAAATTTGCTTATGAAAACAATCACCTTGTGTTTGCTTCCATCACACAAAGGACAAAGATATGAGAAATTGCTGAAACCTATTGGAATCATAACAATATACTTATAAAAGTTTACGTAAATACTTGAAATCTAAATTCCTTCGAACAGAAGTTTGTTTTTTGGTAAAAATATCATTGCCATTTAAATACTCAGAATTTGAAAAAAAATGGTAGTTTAAATCAATCTATTGGCATATGCATTTGGAATAACATGATCCTTTGTTAGAAATTCAAAATCCTGGGTAATTGAAATAAGACAAAAACATATGTTTAAAAATAAATTTCCTGGTGAAAATTCAATTATGGAAATATGTTTCTCTTGTAACGTGTTCTGACTTCTGCATAGAAGTAGTAGTATATATACTTATTTTCCTTCGTGTACATTATTTAAAAAAAAGGCATGGTTTATGCTATGGTATTTAAATATTAATTGGGCAGAAAAAACCTATATTTTCTAGAGGTTCTCTCCATCTGGCAATCATTTTTTTTTTATAATATTTTCCTTTTCATTTACCCTTTTTATTGAGATAACACATTTTTAATAATGCTTGATGTGGTAATTTAGCATATACATAGAATGGCTATCTCAATATTGAAATTCTAACAAAAGTGACCTGAACTTGTTAGAATTTCATGTTGCTTTAATTTCTTATATTGATTATGTGGCCTCTCTTTAATCGGTAGTTGCTTCAAAGGTAAATAATCAACAATGATTTACTGATGTAAAATAGCTAGTTAATCCTCTTTTACACGAACGAGGAGAAAATCTGTAGACGATCGCATGAACTCCAAATGGAGCAGGGTCGGGTGCATGATGGACAGTAAGTGTCAACTGCTATACACATATCACTCGCCATGCGAATCCAGTCTCAGTCAAAAAAGTCATGATAAGAAAAGGACACGATCTTTTAATTTGCAGTTCAGAAGACAACGATGGACACCGCGAACACAATTCTCCCATAAGGTGACATTCAAAACATCGTAAATAAGTTCATATAGATAAATGGAGTTAATGTTTTAACCGTTCATACGCAACTCTGGTACAATAACTTTTAAGTGAGTTTAAGTTAGGGGTAGATTTTTCTGCACATAAAAGAGTTTTTAAGCAAATACTTAAAGGCAATTTTTCATTCTATTATAAGAAGCCAAAGAATTATTCTTAATTCTAATGTCGACATACAAAATGACACATAAATGTTAGGCCAAGTAGCATTGAGCAAAATGTTAATGGGTAAGGACATTGTGCTATACACTATTGGGAAGGAGGTGTTGTTCTCTGCTCAAATTTAATGCATTGCTCGATTTACATGATATACATGATTTTAGATGTCGATATAGGATTATTTTTTATGACTTACCACAAACTAATATGTATATTGAAATTAGTAAGTAGATTTGAAAGTTCGTTATAACTTTTTTATCGTCCGGTTTCGATCCTTCTGGAGTTCATACGATTATCTCAGTTTTTGTTTGTTACTCATATTTTAATCTTCTTACTTATGAAATTTGAACATCGGTAAACAATTGTTGCCTATATTCCTCAACACAACAAATCTTGGGAAAATTTAGTTTAAGTTAATGTGCTACTGCCAGAAAAAATGTGATCATATGCCACCAATGATTAATTCTATGCATTGAAAACTCTCTTTTGGGGTTGAAATTTAAGTGAATAAATGCTTAAATGGTCATTCACCGAGTAATCAGAATTCAAATAGACATCTTATGTGGTCTAGCTTTCACAAAACCAAACTGAACTAAACAGGAAATTCCAGCTTTGCATGAGGGAAGAGAAACCTTAGCTTAAGCACGATCACATTTAGGTTTTGTTTAATCCTATAAAAACATTGGAGTAGAGTCACATCAATGCAAGAAAATATACAGACCGTATGCATTTGTTTTAATTTGAGGAAACCTGGTTGAGCAAAGTTTAAATGGGACGTGATCGCATATACCAACCAATGAAAAATATCATAACATATCACAGACAAGTATTGTGGTGTCGAAAATTGATTCAGCTATTTACATTGTCAAAATATTTAAAAAAAAAAACTGTCAATTTTTTTCTCCATTTGTGTAAAAAATACCTGTGCTACGGATGTACGGATTTAATGTAATTTTCCATTTTTTCGTTGCAGAAACGAGTTATAACACTCGTTTCGTCATCTAGGGATATTTGTTAAAGACTAAATCTGCCATAAAGTGGCCCTCATTTACAAAGGTGTTATTTTCTTACTATATGTAATACATTCAAATTACATTTAAATCTTTTTAGATAACGATGAGTTATCAATTATTGGTATCATCGGCGAGAGTTGCAGGTAAAATTCCTTTGAGAGCTCTCTCAACAACGTCACCAAAATGCCAACAACAAGAAGTGGTGAATCTTACACAGGAACAAAAAGATAAATATTACCCCAAAATAGGTAATAGTTAACACTTTTGTTTATATAACAGATCCTTAATCCTGGACATTACTTCGGTAAACGATTTAAATGCAGACATGACTTATGTCATTTTATAGCTTGATTTATAAAAATAAGAAGATGCCAATTGGCCAATCAAAAAAGTATAAGTCAAGTCGACAACAAAATTATCAAATAGGGAATGAAGGAAGGATAAACAAGCCAGTTCTTGCTCAAACAGTGGTACCCGTCCTGATGACCATGACAAACAAAAGTCAGATTGATATGTTGCATTTTGCAGAGTTCTCAAAATCTTTTTTTTTTCCATGTTGGCCCTTCAAGTAAATCTGCTGGTCCTCACTTTCATTTCTATCGCAAAATACCAAAATTGTGTTGGTTCTTGCATAATTTTGTGGTTAAACCCTTCGGACAACCACTTTTCGAGAACTCTGATTTTGTGATGTCATCAACGCTGATATCAGGACAGGATTTGGACTGAGAATATATGGTACATAGCTTCTGTGGTAATCTGTAACACAGATATTCCATAACGGTCAACAAAATAATGGTAAAACTTTTAAAGAGTAACATGAAGACTACAAAACTATAATTTTAAATTACGGTAATTATTAAAAAAAAAACAATGAAATGAAATGATATATCTATACGTGAAATAATCTGCCAAGTAGTCAGTACCTGTGTATTGTAATGATTAATATGACATATTGAGCCTGATCGATTATATTACCTCTTCAGAGTAAATTGTTTGCTTGGTAACATCTTTGTCGAATGAGACCAAACGAAATGTCGGAATCTGACCTAAGAATTTTGGCATACATTCTGCACAGGGTGTCTAAACAAAATATATCTTGTACTGAAATTACGCAAGTGTGCTATTATATAACATATAAGATATGCCTTCCTTTGTTATTGTGGGGGATTAAGGAAGAATATGATTGGTTACGACTTAATCCTTACATATGCATAACGATGTTTATGCAAGGAACCATATGGTAAACTTCCTGTCATATTAAATTTTCAGGAAATAGAGATATTGTTGGTTCAGGTCATAGTATTAGACCTGGTTATGAAGACAGAAGTGATTATCCATTTCCTGCCTTGAGGTGGAAGCCAAACACACCAGATGTGACAGCCCTCAGGGAAAAAGAAGTAGGAGACTGGAAAAATCTAACCATGGAGGAGCGAAAAGGCTGTATGTTTGAATGTTATGTTGTATATGTCTCGTTCAAAGTATTTCCTTCTCAAAACAGGTTGTACTTGCAACTCTTTTCGACGATGATCGTGAAAGAAGGGTATAAATATGTGTATGTAAGAACACGAAATAAAAGTGTTATTTGAACGATGAATGAAATATATCGCATTTTGTCCAACAAAAAACGGGTTTATGTTCATGCAATTACCGCAGGTCTGTTCTTTAACTCATTTTTTCAGAATGGATTTATGAGGTTCGAACATCAAAAATTTTAGCACAAATATGCACGAGCTCATAATGACAACTGCAAAGACATAGATATGCTGTGTCCTCATCCGACGATACGAAGGGTGTCGTATCGTAAACAGTATATGGTCATCCTTCAAGCTTATCTAAGATAACTCTAATATTAAAGATTTACTCGTGATCATAAATACATGTATTTTAGTATCCGATTTAGGTGTAGATACACGTATTTAATGATACATATTATATATTGAAATATAACATGTCTGAAAGGTGCATGATTTCAAATTCGAGTTTATCAGTTATTTCAAATTAATTAATGGATCAACTATTTCATCTTTACACAAATGCGACTAGTGGATCACGATCTGCTTACCCTTTCAGAATTCTTAGGATCATTCTCCATTTTTGATGGCGTTCGTGTAGCTAAGCCTTTTGATTTCTGTGTAATGCAATTGATATTTGTCGCACCTCGAATAAATTAGTGACGTTGTGACTGCTTTAACATCGTCATGTGGTGACCCCCGCCTATAGATCCGTGGTGGGTCAGTAGATTCCATATGAGTATCACGACGTCACGTCTTCTATCAATGGTGACGTCATCTATAAATGTTATTGTATTTCATTTTTTGTTCTAATACAAAAATTGGCATGAAAAGTCCCGTGAGCGATACATTCGTTAAACTGTTCATTTTAGGCCCCTTACTGATCCATAGAGGGTTATTGAGATCCATAGGGCTGAGGACACAGAGTCATTAGTAAACCATATAACCATATATTAGGTGACCGACAAAAAAAATAATCAAAGTATTTAAAATGTTGAAAACGCTAATCATCCAACGGGTTCAATAATCGACGGTAGACTTAAATCTAAAGGAAAAGGATCATAGTATTGAAGTTCAAAAGTACAAATCAAATGTTGTCTGCAATAAACAACATTTTTTTTTCAAAATTTTACTTCATTGTCTTTAAATGTCAAATATACAAAATATTTAATCCTGGATTATATGATGAGTTTATGTATATCCCCGCAATTTCGATTTTGCTTAAAAGTGACCCAAGAAGTTATTGAATTTGTAGTTTTTCATTCAAGGTTGAAAGTTAAATATCTCAATTTTGTAAAAGTCTTAATATGAATAACAATATTTTCGTTATTTCAATGAAAGTCATGTTGTATCAGAAACCAGTGTTGATGATAATGCTGTTATGTACCTGTTATTAATAGTTAGAATTGACAATGCTAAGTCTATATACCGGACATTTTCTTTCTCCCTTTTATCAGTAAGTTAATCCGTTAGAACCAATTTACTCTGAATTAATTTTACACTTTCTCAACTTTCTTAAACATTACCCTTTACTTTATTACAGCAGTTCTATTTGTACTTTGAGAAAACTGTGAATTCATTATTATTCGTGAGATATCAACTTTAGTAACTTTCGGGGGTACAAGTGAATTTAAATGTTCAACGAAGTATACATTTCATATGCTAGTAGGCTAATTTGCACCACGAAATCAATTATTCACAAAAACACATTTTTTCCTCCTTCCACGAAAATTGGTACCAACGAAAATAAATGAATCCACAGTATACAGACAGTATGCCGTATTTCGAAACATATAGTCATTTCTAAATATCTACAATGTCTTAAAACAAAACGTTTTATAAGATTTTGACATTTTTCGTATTTTCATCCATAATTATGTTCAATATAGTTTGTTTGAATAATCATCATCATCATTATAAAAGTAAGGAGATGTGGTATAATTGTCAATGAAACAACTATCAACCAGAGTTCAAAAGACGAAGATAAAAGCAATTATAGGTGACCGTACAGCCTTTAACAAAAAAATACATACCGTATAGTCAGCTATGAAAGGCCCCGACATGTAAAATGTGAAACAATCCAAACAAGAAAACTTACGGCCTAATTTATACAAAACAATTTACGAAAAACAAATTTGACAGACATGAACCAACGACAACCACTGAATTACAGGCTCCTGACTTGGGACAGGCACATAAATAATGTGGCGGGGTTACACATGTTTGTGAGCGCTCAACTCTCCCCTAACCTGTGACAGTTGAGTTACAGCACAACATAAAAACAAACTGGAAAAAGTAGTTGCAAATGACTTAACTCAATAAATCGGTACAAGGCATTAATACACCAAATAACATAAAAACAGTAGACAAAAAACACCGATATAAGAGTACTTGCAGTTACTGAACCATGGTTCGAAGTCGATTACAACCAATTGATAAATCATGTTTTCTTGTATAAAATCCAATTAAAGTTACATTCTGGAAAGAAGAAGTATATATATATATATTTGATTAATCTTTCAGTATACCGAGCAAGTTTTTGCCAAACTTTTGCCGAAATTAATGCGCCAACTGGTGAATGGAAGCAAGTTGCCTCTGCAACATTGTTGATAATGTGGCTCACAGCTGCTTGGGTTTGGTGGTGTGAACATTTCGGTAAGCTACTTTCATTTTGGATTTTTTTCACAGTATAGGTAGTTATTCGCTATTAGTTTTATGGGTAAAGAGAGATAACTTTTTATAATCAATGTAACGTAACAGCTTATAATATATTGATTCAAACAATTTTCCAGTGATTTTTTGCATTTTAAAAAATAAATTATGAGCAAGAATATATATTCATTATTTCTTCAAACAGAAAAAAGGGTATTATCAATATTGACATTGAATATACAAAAGGGATATTCAAAGTCATAAGTCGAAAACAAACTGACAACGCTGTGGCAAAAAATAGAAAACAAAAAACGACCAAAACAGACACAAGAGTCGACAAACAAAACATCGAAAACTAAAGACTGAGCAACATGAAATCCACTAAAACCGTGGGTGATCTCAGGTGCTCCAGAAGGTTCATCTCGTTATCTAAACTACTATTTACAGTCTTTTGTGATGATATTATGAGAAAATAGTATTCTTTCACAAAAAAAACTGTAAATAGTTCAAACATTTACAGCTTAGAACTGATTTAAAATCAATTTCTGATTTCTTACTAAAATAAATCTAAAAGTTTTGTGTAATACAAACAAATTTTCTATTCAACTGATTTAAGGTCATTTGCTTAAAACATGACTTTGACTAACTCCCTTTAATAAACGAAAATTGAATTTTGTGATTGTGAGCAAGTATGTAGTTTTTTAAAATGATGGAAAAAAACAAATATCAAACGATGATAACCTTTTCATTGAATACATTATTGGCCATAAAAACTATTATTTCATCAAATATGGAGTCGTCTCTCTTGATGCATGACACAGGGGCCTCGGTGGCCGATTGGTCTTAAGTAACCCAACTACTGTATTACTAACATGTCAACACTTAGGTTTTGAAATTCGAATACCACTCGTGACAGATGCATCGTTCGACTCCAAATAATTGACTAGGATTGTCAGTTTTCCTACCGAAGGTCGGTGGTTCTCTCCTGGCACTTCGGCTTCCCCAACCAATAAAAACTGACCGCCATGAAATAGCCAATAGTGCTGAAAGTGGCGTTAAACACCAATCAATCAATCTATAATACATGACAGTTTTTTTTTGCTTACGATAATATTCTAAAGCAAATTCAATAATCTTCATTTAAAAATTTATTTCTCATGAATTTATGTGAAAACAGCTCTTCAAAATATTTCTAATGTTACTACTTTGAACTTCTATAGGTTAAATTCAAGTACACTTTAGTCTTACTCTAACATTATTCTAGGAGACCATCGTAGAAAGGAAGTTCTAGATGATCAATTTTATGACCAAAATTTAACCTAAAGGAATGGTCCAAAACCTCTGAGGTCAACATTGTCTGACCCGTTGGAATTTAAATTTGTATGTGTTTAATCATCATGGCCACTGACTTCTTCTTAAAATGACTAACATTCCATAAACAGATGTATTTGCATGAACATATATAAATTCATCCTATATACCAGGATTAAAATTTTGTACGCCAGACCTGGCGCGTTTCGTCTTCAAAAGAGTCATTAGTGACGTTCGAATCAAAATTGAAAAGGTCAAACAAAAAACGAAGTTGAAGAGCATTGAGGACCCAAATTCCGAAATGTTTTGCTAATAACAGCAGTATACAGATATTATTTACTTAAATTTACTGTTTTAAAATTCCGAAATCATTTTAAATTAAGGAATGTATCTCACTTAGTACATAGCTCTGATTATTTGTCTGGATTTGGCTTTACTTTTGGTCCTATTTGGTTTTGTCAGCTCTTCAACGTTTGTAAGAGGTCTTGGATTGGCAATATTGCGGCATCGAGCATGACTAAAGAAACATTAAATGTCAAAATGCGCATCTGGTGCAGTAAAATTGGTATCGTTAATGATATTGTAACCACACGTTAGAAACATATCAAAGATTGATCTGCCGTATTAACACTGGTTGGCCGAAGTAAATCTCGTCTTGTGAATAAAGGGAGAGTTAACGTCAATGCGACATTAACACAAAAAAAATTCAGAAAGACGTCTGGAGGTCAGCACCTGTGATCTTTAACAATAGACTATATGAATATACTGCAGGTCTATATTCTGATTGATAGATAGACACATTTCTAACGGATTCTGATTTTTTTTTATTTATAAAATTAGTAATATAGCTTGTGATTTCAATCTCATTGCATATTTTTAACGCCTCAGATCAAGGGTCGTTTCAGTCAAAACTGGTCGTGTCGATCCTTTTCATGTATATACAGAATGGACAACATAAAGGACTGCAGTGGGGTATCAAAATGAGGTGGACATACCAAATAAAAGAATCAAAACCATAAGTCGAAAACAAAGTCAACACCATGGCAATAATAAAATAAATGGTGAATGTGTCCATGGGACACCGATGATGCCCCCGCTTGCATATAACGTTATAAAGGGGCATAACTCCAGAACGGTAGAAGTGACGCCACCCAAATTTGAACTTGATTTGAGCTTTGTGGAAATTAACATTGTGTATAGGTTTCATAACATTTGGTTGAGGCAAACCAAAGTTATAGAACGGAAACTAATTTCTGGACGTACGTACGGACGGACGGACAAGGGTAAACCTTAATTCCCCTTCCGCTACGGCGGGGGCATAAAAAAGACGAAAAGACTAACAAGAGTCAGCAAAACACTACTCAGAAAACTAAAGATTGGGCGTCATAAAATCCTTCAAAATGCGAGGGTGACTTGTTTTGGCTTTCGAACTTTTTTTTATCTGAGCGTCACTGATGGGTCTTATGTAGACGAAACGCACGTCTGGCGTATTAAATTATAAGCCTGGTACCTTTTGATAGATATTATTTGTGTTTGTCTCTGTCCTGTATGTTCTTCCATTTATTTGTATTGTAGTCCTGTCATGTAATCTTGTCATTTTAATGTTATATTTAACATTGCCATAAAAGCGGGAGGTTTGGCTAGCCACAAAACCAGGTTCAACCCACCATACATTTTTTCTTAAAATGTCCTGTACCAAGTCAGGAAAATCGCCATTGTTATATTATAGTTCGTTTCTGTTTGTGTTGCATTTTAGTGTTGTGTTTCTGTTGTGTCGTTGTTCTCCTGTTATATTTGATGTGTTTCCCTCAGTTTTAGTTTGTAACCCGGATTTGCTTTTTCTCAATCGATTTATGAATTTCGAATAGCGGTATACTATATATATAGCTACTGTTGTCTTTAATTTTCGGCTGTTTCTGAGCGGTAAGAAGGCTTGCTTCACTAGTGGCACTCGTTCTGTATGACCTGTCTTATTGACTCAAAGTTTTAATACTTTACGATTATTATGTTTCAATGGTGTTCAAAACTTACTGTAAATGAAAAAAAAAAAACAATAAGTGATATGTTAAACTATATGTGTTATTCTTTTTTCAGTATTTAGTAAACAATTACCAGAAAGTATGACAGAAGAGTATAAGAAGAAAAATATAGAGAGAATGATTAAACAAGGCCAAGAAGAAATGACTGGAATTAGTGCACAGTATGATTTTGAAAACAAGAAATGGAAAGGAAACAAATGGTGGTAGAAAAAGAGTAATTGCGAGACATTTTCCCGGTGTGTGTTTACAGATTACAAAAATGAGTCAAAGTAGTGTGTAACTGAAGAAAATAAATAAAAAATATATATGATATGTTGTTATATAGTATAGTGATAGTTGAAGACCAAAACATATATATGTTGTGTACAAGTTATCATTTTGTACAAATTATAATTTGTGCAAAAAATTGTACAAATTATAATTTGTATTTTGACTTTGTACAATTTGTAGTTTGTACAAAAAGTGCTTGTACAAATTACAATTTGTACAAAATTTTACTAAAATTCACTTAAAACTTGGACAATAATTTATAGTATGGACTTTGTTATAAAAAGAAGCATTGATACACACTATAGAATTTTCGATTGTAATTTGTACAAGCACTTTTTTGTTCAAAATGATGACTTGTACACAACATATATAAACTTATCACGCTTTTGCTACCGATTGGGGAAAAACAGATAATGTCTCTGTGGTATGGTAGTAGCAAACTCTCCTCGAGTGCGGGTTCCATCCTCGACAAATCAAAAACACAAACTTGTAAATTGGTATGTGCTACTTCTCCCCTAAGCACGCACGAGGCATATATATAGGGGTTGGAGCAAAGACTGGTCGTCTCGGTGTCAGATTAATGTACCCGTCTTCATGTGGGTGTAATTTTCAAATGTGTAAACTGAAACGTTAAATAAACGCAGTGTATATGTAGTTACTTCTCTGTTGATCCAATATTCAAGAGCATATGAAGTACAAATGTATATACTTTCTTGTTGATACAATATTCTAGAGCGAAGGAAGTAAACATTTATCTGTTGATTCAATATTTCTGAGCGTATGAAGTATATAATTATATTTCTCTGCTGATACAATATCCTGGAACGGATAAGTATATATCAAATGTCTCTGTTGATTCATGTGGCATTTACATGTAGGAGCAATAGAAAAGACTGGTTAGCCCGGAGTCCGAATGATATGTCCTGGTTGGGTGACATGTCTTCCTGTTGGGTCTTTCTTTGTGAACTAGTAAGTTAAAAGAACTTAACAATGATCATAAATCAAGAACCAAAGCTTGAATGAAATAAGTTAGGAATATACAGAAAATTTAAATATGTATATGACCCATCTGAACTTGAACATTATTATACACTATAGTCTCAGGAAAGGAGCAGAGAAAATTATTTGCCACAATTAGACTATGGGATCATAACCTGAATATAGAAAGGGGCATAGATATCAGAATTAAGAAATTAAAGACAGAAAATGTAATTTATGTAAAGAAACGGAATAAAATGAAAGGCATTTTTTTATCAGACTGCCCTGTTCTTGAATCTGTAGAAAGCCGTTCATCTGAATTATAAATATAACACTTTTATCAAACTTTCTTCAGAGAATTATGATTACTGACTATTGGAAATATTTATGTTACAAATTCCGAACTAAAAGAAAATCGTGATGCATTACTTAACTAAACCCAAAATCTGAAATGAGGTGATGGAGTTGTCTCTCTTTGTCCAAATATAACAGGGTGTCTGATGACAAATGACAATAATAGCTATTCTAATTACAAGGAATTAATTGAGAAGTTTGACATTGTTTCTATCAAACAAAAAGTCTTATTGATCGCTGTATTTTTAGACAGCAGTCATTTGGTTACCTTCTTGAAAGCAGATTTCGGGTAGCCTTTTTGTCAGAATGTCAGATTTCGGGTACGTGTTTTGTAATTCTATGCAAATTCCCTTTTGTCACATGTTTGTAAATGTCTAAGTAAACTGAATTTTCTTGGATTTATGTCAAGTTAACGTCGGATAATTTAGGGTATGATCTGTTTATTTTCTTGATACTTAAGGGTCTCTTAAATTAAATATGCAAATGCTGGATAATTCTGATCTTTTTAGTGAAATCAATCGGATTATTTCGGGTCGGGTTTTATAATTTCAATCAATAAAGGATTTGAGTATGCCATGGATGCTATCCTCAGTGAGATCAACTTCTCCGCTATGCACGCGATAATAAACAGAAATTGCTGAAATTCTTAAAAATAAAGCCTCTTGAAGTGGATTTTTTTTTTGGTTTAAATCTCCTTCCCTCCGCCGACTTTGCGTATACTTAGTAATGTTACTGTATATAGCTATAGTACAGTCTGCTGGTGAAGAAAAATGTGGTTTAGGAACATTTGAGTAGCCCTAATCAACATTTTGTAATCATTTAACTGCATACTTTTCTTTGCTCTTAAAAGAATGGTTACATTTCAATGAAATTTCATTTTGCGTTTCTGTCATATATGATATACAGCATTTAGCAACATGTCGACCACACTAATATACTTTTCAGTGATATTTTTCAATAAGACAATAACAAACAGGTCTCTATACATATTTCATAGTTGATACAACCTCGGAGTTAACTTTACAAGTGGTTAGTTTTTTTTTTTTTGGCAAAGACTGCTAAATACCAATATAACTTTGTAGAGGAGATAAATGCACCAGATAAGTTTTATGAGAATTCTTCAGGTCAGAAAACAACAATGATGTAAATATACGTGATATGCACCTTTATAAATATATATATACTTTTCGCGGATATATTTGTTATGCAATGCTTTTTGAACTTTTTTCGTATTTCCTGTCTACTTGTATTACGATTTTAACATTGGTACGTATATTTCATTGTGTTCTAGCAATGTGCAATTTTAATATGCCTGTCCTATACTTTAATTCTTAATATTTTTGGGGTGAAATCATAGATTTTTTTATAAGGTCAAATTCAATTATTTATTTTCATTCTGTATTTAATTTGGGTGCAACAGTACGTGAAGGTAAATTCCTGTGTGGAAGGGCAAAAAGGTGGGGGATTACATGTGGCACGATCAGATCTATTTATGTCCCAGGCAAATCCGCAAATGATAAAAAAAACTTCCCCAACGTTTAGCCCAAAACTATTAATTTTCAATAATATTAGGATTAAAGTAGTTTACTTCAAAAACTTTCAAGCCACTCTAATTTAATGAGGGTTATTTCTCAATCACGGGGAGTGGGGGTCGATCTTAATATGGGATTTTGGGTACAGTAGTGCAGCTGGCAAAACACCCACATTTCATAAATTAAAATCTTGAGAAAAAATCTGATGGCAAAATCATGACCCATTCATAGTTTTCTCAGTAATCACATATTATACAATATAAATAAGAGGATGTGGTATGAGTGCCAATGAGACAACTCTCCATCCAAGTACAAGTTTTGATATCTTAATTTGAATAAAAAAAACGACAAAACAGCATTTAAACAATTTGAAACATCTATTATAATTCGGAGGATGAAAATCACTGACCCATTGATATTTGACCTCAGTGAAATTTAATGTATGCCATTAACACAATTTAAATATAAAAAGGGGACCCATTCCAGCGGCACGGCTGTGTATACCTTCATTCAGTCATAGAACCCCAAATCTAGATGGAGACCCACGTGCGTGTCCTCATTATCCCAGTTTTGAAATATAGTCCCATTTATAATATTTATCTCAGGTGTACCACCCCTTTTTCTTTCTAGGGTAATATTTTACCGTAAAAACTTTTATCATTCAAAACGACGTGTGAAAACTTAACACTTAGGCAGTATAAATCACCGGTATGTATGCATTGCAACCGTTAAATTGTTTCTCCCTATGAATATTGAACTATTCAGTGATGATTTCAAAAGCACAAAGCATCCTAAAGATTTAACACAGCACATTTCTTGCATACATGTAACAGTGTAAAGAAAAGAAAATTCAAGACATTTAGTGAAAAAAAATTAGTGGGTACCCTTTTGTCATGTCTATACTCAGGGGCGGATCCAGGCCATGATTTTAGGTTAGGGGGGGGGGGCGCAAACTTAAAAGGTAGTGAGGTAAAATTATTGAAATATTCTTTATTATAAGCTGAGGCAACCCATGCTTTGCAAATTTTAGGGGGCGCACGCCCGCCAAGCCCCTGATACTGTTACTAACATATTTATTAATTACGCCAATATTATACTTGTAAACAGTGCAATTATACGTGTTGGAAACCAAAATCACAACAGAAAAACATTATCACTTCATCAAAGGGAGTAGCTATTTCACAACAGCATTCACAAATGAAGAAAATTGTCTATCCTGTTATATCTATCCTGTTTCTATGGTTACTGTGGTTACAGTAACAGGATAGACAATATTTGACATAAACGTCTTTAAAAAGTTTATAATCACATATAGTTTAATTCACACATAATGAAATGTTTGGCTGTTTGAGCTCATTTAAAGGTTACAACTTCTTAATCTTCGAAATTTGGCACTATGATATGCAGATGCAATACTGCCATCGATAACGGGATAGACAAAAAGGGTAACAGGATAGAACTTAATCATGTTAATATGGTGATCATGATATGATTAACGTACGTTACTGTTACCAACAACAAAAAAAGCCAAAAGTAAACTGTGACCAACATGCGAGGGAATTACTTGATGTTGGGTTTAATCTGAGACAACTATAACGTGTTATAGTAGTCTCAGGTTTAATAGAAAGAGAAAAAATGTTAAACATTATAAATTGCTATCTTAGACTTGCATTGCTGGTGGTTATTTTTATAACCTTTGAAAAACTATTTTTTTTTATGTATTTTTCAGTACAACATGGAAAATTCACAAATAATCTATCATTACACAGAATGAAAGTATATAGAGTTTTTACTCTTGAAAACCATCTTATTGGCTATGAAAAACAAGCTTAAAATTTTATCGAAACCTTTTCTAAATATCTAAAAATTTATGTTTCATGGTAACAAGAGAGACAAAATATTGCACCACTTATCAACAAATGTTTCAATATATTCTTTTTTGACATTATCAATATTGCATCTTTTTATATGTTGTTCCATGAGTAATGTTTGTTTTGATTTGCTTATGAAGAGGGTTGTTTGAATTAGTAACTTTAATTCAATTTTCCAATTTTTTGAAATAAGACTGGGGAGTAGCTATAGAGTCCGGAAAAATCCTGGACCAGTACACATCAGTACAATGTAAGTTAATTATATTGCTTCTTTTACTTCCATTTGAAAACATATGTATCTGCTTATTTCATTATAATATGCATCAAATTAATAGCTCGTTCCTCCATTCGTTTATTAGTTCCAGCACCAGGTGAGCTAAACAAAATTTGGCGCGCTTTTTTAACGCAAGATAAGTTCCGATGAGATAGCCATTCGGAACTTTGTTTATCAGAAATATGATCGGGACAATATGATCAGCTGAGACAGCAGTCAATGAATGTTGACCTTAATCCTCAGTATAGATCTGTTTACGAATACTTCAAAAGGGCTTTCAGTAAAAAGGTGCACTGTAGATGATCTTCAACAGTGCAAATGCAATTGATATACGTAACCATTGCGTCAAACCAATGTCAAAATATGCATTGCAAACTTTCACTTTGTCGATATTTATGGTTGTGTACACTGTTCGTCCTAGCTTTTACCACGGATTTAATAAAAGGAGGCAATACTCAGTATAATGTGGAAAAAATCTCTTCGTGTCAAGTTAAAATATCTGACTATGGAACTATAAATTTGAAACCATTGGAAAGGATTGATGGGTTCCCAAGGTAATTTGTTCCTTTAGATACAATGTACGTAACATGTACAAGTAAACATATGTATATATACATGTAGTCTTTTTTTCTTCCCTTTTCAGCATTTCCTGACAGCAGATTTACCTAATTGCTATTTAACCACCATTTCAGGATTAGTCCAAATAATTATGACGTCTTGAAAGGCTATTATATTTTTTATTCTTTGACGCCTTACATCGCAGGAAGGCGTCAAAGCAAAAATTTAAAATAGCCTTCCAAGAGGTCATAATTATTTGGACTATTTCAGGATATGACACATGCTGTTCCCATAAAATTTGATGCCATAACTAAGAGAAAATGTCTGACCCGCTTTCGAGACGTTTCGGCCACATGTGCCAATCAGTTCAGCCACAAGGAATCCGGGTCCGTTGGCGCCCTTTCACGTTCGCACCCGGGTCTGTTGGCGCCCATTCACGTTCGCCCCCTTTTACGTTCGCACCCTTTTTATTGATTTTGTCTTAAATTATTTTTCAATCGTATTTTGGTTAATGTATTGCTATAAATATTTTTTTTGTTCATTGTTTTGGAATGAAGAGACTTTCTAAAAACGATTTTTGTGTTGAATATTTTTTTAATCGTGTTTTGGTTATTGTATTGCTATAAATAAGTTTTTTTTCATTGTTTCAAAACATGCAAAATAAAGTGACGTTTTTTGTGTTGAATATCTTTTTAATCGTGTTTTGGTTAGTGTATTGCTATATTTTTTTTTTTCATTGTTTCAAAATAAAGTGACTTTCTACTGTTCTAAAAAGGTTTTTTGTGTTGAATTTTATTTAAATGTTAAGATACCAAACCGCTTTAAACTCAACAACAATAACATTTTGAATCTTAATTGTTTTTACTCATACCAAGTTAAATACAATGTACATGCTAATATAACTACATGCAGAATTTACATCAAGTTTAGCTGTGTAAACACCGTATATAATTAACAGTTATCATAAATAATTAATCATCAAATCAATTTAAAACAATATTTCATTTAAAAAATTCAAAAATTGCTGAATTTTTCTTTATTTTGAGATAAACATCTTAAAAAACATCTTATAATTCATCGGGTTTTTGAATTAAAAAAATGGGTGCGAACGTGTATTGGGCGCGAACGGACCCAATACCAGCCACAAGTCATTTCAGCCCGTTACCAGTTCAGCTCTAGTTGTCTCAGCCACAGTTGTTTTCGGCCATAATTTTCATATTGTTCTTATTATACATGTTATATACATGTATGCATTAATTGTTTGACAGACGAATGTTTTGAAAAGAATTATAAATATTAGGACTTAACAAAAAGTTATTTGTCAAAATGTGCGCATCTGCTCTGAAACAATAAAGAGGACACATGACTTTTATGTAACAGATGATTAAGACATTAACAAATGATTAATAGATCCCTTTGACTTAGGTGCTAGATTGTCTAGATTAATTATTTTTTTGGTAACAAAGAATAAAAATTAACATTTTGCCATCCATATCAAACATAAGTACAAATGTTTAGAAACAAGGAACACCAATTGCAATGACTGCATGATAAGAACAACAATCTTTGCTTTTGAATAACTATCTGATAGTTATCATTTCTTGTTCCTTCACTTTTATCACTATTTTACGAATTTCTTCAAACAGTCAATTTGAAAATTGATATACATTTTTATCAATAAATTTTATATAAATGTATAATTAAAATGTATTTTGCCATTTGTTTCTAAATGTCTCTTTCTACGGTGTATATACATTGATTATATTTATCTTCCTTTGAACATGAAAAACCATGACTGAATTGACTTTACAAAGTATTGCAGAACTGGCAGTATGGTCTAAAAGACTGGCTTTAACTGGCAGTATAGCCAGACCTGTTGCATTGCAAAACAAAAGTGATTGAACATGTAGTTAAGTATGATTTTAATAGATCAAGTGTCACAAAATCTAGGGTCTGACTGCCGTGATTGTCACATACAATGTAATCCCAGAAAGCGATATGGTCTGAAAAGACGACTTTCATATACTTGCATGTTTGTGCTTGATATACATGTATATATAAAATGTACATCGGTTTTGAAGGATTTCAGTCAAGGATATTTTAAAAAATAATAGATTACTATCCCAAACATGATATTAGGCCACGCCAAATCAATACTTTGTTTGTCAGATTACCCGATTGTTGCAATTGTAGAACTTGCATCCAATGCTGGTCCACCCATGTTTAGATCCAAATTTACTCTTCAAAATTTTTAGTCGGTCATACGTTTGATAGAAATATAATTTTGTCATTTCAGTGGTGGCTGGTTATTTTATCAGTCCTATGTTAAGTAAACAAAATGCATGTCTTGATTCCAAACTTGTGCTTATAACATGTATAAGCTTAAAAATCTAATCACTTTCAATATTGATACCTACATATATATACATGATATACATGTACATATGTGTACTAGCAGTAATCTTTGGTCATATTTTTATTTCGAAATCTAGTCATTTCGGCCATTCCAAAATTATACATGTATATGATTTTTTGGGGCAAGTATAGGTTACTTTTGTATGCTTAAAAATTCAAAGTTCCTCATGCAATACATTATTTTTTCCTATACCCATTTTAATATAACAAAAAAACTCATCATTTTTATACATCAGCTGTCTGGGTGGTTGACTGTTTCCATGGTTTCTTGTATATATATCAGAAGCTTTCAACTCTGTACGATAATATTATTGGAAGTTGTACATACACATCATGCATATGTAATTGTATAATAGCAGAATTTGCTACTACAAATGTATAACCGTACATGTACTAGCAAAAACATGACACAGTTATTTTTCCAAATCAAGTACTGCAAAGAAATCTCAATGCAAGATTTAAAGGAGGTACACTCAGTATTGTTTTAAGCTCAGTGAAAAAAATATAGTTTAAATCTTAGAACTAAAATACATAGATCTATACGTGGTATTCTTTACAATTTCTCATTTGATATTTCTTTTGTGTCACTGCACATGTACAGTATATGTACAAGTTCATCTTTTAAAGGAATGTTCCTTTTCTTTGGATTTTGTGAAGTGCATGACTGCATAGGGAGTTGATTCATAAATTGAAAACATATCAATTCCTTCTGTTCCATTTCATACATGTACATATTGAACATAGTACATGTATCTGCATACATGTACATGTATGTACAGTGTACATGTGCATGTATATATAGTATGACAAGTAGATATAGACAATTATATAAGCAGATACATATTTCATCACCATTGATCACCTTATTAACCATGTTAACATGATTAATTTATTATTTATACATGTTTATATATGCCCCACCAACATTATTGACTTGCAATCCAATAATACATTAGTACTGATCGTTTGCTTACTTTGATGACATTTAACCAAACTGACTGCTTATTATACATGTTATAGTGAAATATTATTTCTATATTCTGCTTTTACAAATCATGCAAATGTTTGAAACAATAAAAAAAATTTTTTACATTTTGCCCAATTTGTAGTTTATGCCCCTTTAACATGTTTAACATACATGACATGACATGTTTAATATCCCAAAATACTAATTTATTGTTTAATTATTTATGCTGAATCCACATTGCGCTCCAACTTTGTATAAATGTATGCATGGACACATTATTTTGTGTATGTGTGTTTTTTTATCATTTAAGACTTGAAAAGTTCTTCAGTACATCGTCATCATGTACATGTACAATGTACATTTGTACATGATCATCATGTACATGAATTGTATAGTCATGATATATTTTGAACTAGCACTTATTTAATTACCATGATTACTATTTTGTAGGTTTTCTACTTATTACAGAGTGACAAATAGACTACGGTCAGAACTTTGGAATTATAGCTTTAATCCTTGCCAGTCTTATAATGAACCCTATGATCTAGGGGATAAAAATAGATATGGTGAACCTTGTATGTCTGTCTCAGTAAGTGAATGTACAATACACACAAATTTTATTCTGTTTAAGTTTATAAATTCAACTTGTTTAGTGTACATTTTGTACTACAACGTTCTGCACCAAAATCTTTTCCAACTACTAGCAATATGACTAGTCTGAACATGCTGAACACCAATATTCCTACATTTTTCTTATGTACATGTATCTAAACAAATTATTACAAATACTTACTAGTCTGAATAAAATTTACTAGTCTTGGGCATCAGACTAGTGGCTAATGTAGCAGACTGCTGCAATATGAGGTGAGCAAAACATTAACACCATTCTACCATAAAAGATGTAAAAAGCTTTAGTTTGAAGTTTTTAATTATTATATTTCATGAAAATAATTTCTTAAGGGATTATGCAAAATACCAGTTATACATGTACATGTTGTACATGTATTATTATATATGTCATTTACATGTACAATGTACATATGTACAAATGACATATATATATCTCAATCATTTCTGTACACCTATGAATACTGACTCGATGAACCTTTTTATTTTGTCTATAATTATCTCATTTCTGTTCAACTCTTAATCTTTAAATGCATCTTTAAATGCATCTTTAAATGTGATCTGTACATGCATGTACAAAATGTACATTTTTTGTAGGTATTCTCTCAGTCAATTTTGTCTAGACTGAACATTCACTTGCAATTCAAGGCTCTCTTTATGATGTATGGTCCTAATTACTTCTCAAGATGTTTATTTATATAATTATATACATGATATAATTAGCATGATTAGTGTATGTGTACTTATGAAATATTAAGACATGATAATAGATATACATGTACATGTATATAACTCCACAGCACACTGGTCTCTTAAGTCACTTCAACATGGTCAAACCTGACCTGTGACCTTTCGACCTAACATTTCATTTAAAAGGACCTGTGACTTTTAAAAATGTTCAAAAGCCTTTTATTTGAATGTTGATTTTGCTTAAAAGTGACCTAAGACAATTTTTAAATGTGACCACTTAAGCATGACATTTTAACATTGACACAATGTATACCTAGATATGATGATTTTAATGATAAGATTATAAATAGTAAACAAACATCTGTCTTGAATTACATGTACCCTTGAAAAAGCATGATACTAACTAATTATATACAGCCTGTACAGTTGAGAGTACTTTTATTCAAGGTGTACTACTTTTGACATGTATATACATGTAGATTACTCGTTAATTCATGTACATATAGATTGTTATAAACTGCTCTTTGTGTGTTCAGTAAAAAATCTTTGAGGGAGGTGAGGTGATCTATTGCATGGCACATTCTGATTCCATCCAGTTATATATTCACTGTATATGTTTTTCATGTGATTCATCCACATTTACATCAGTCAGGGGTACTACTTGTACAAGTAATCTTTATTTACTTGAAGAAGTAAATAAAATAAACTTATATAAGTTAATTATAATGTTTGAATAATCTCCCCTTAATTTTCTCAAAAATTTACTTGTATAAGTAAATTTTTTTTACAATCCCACAAAAATTCTCAAGTTTTGAGATGTAAAAACATGCCTTTAACAATTTTTCTCAGGTTAGCTCATAATTTTTTATTAGAGTTCAATGTTTCATCTCATTTATTAAATTCAACAAAGAAACTGATTGCGCAAAGATCTTAAGTATTTGCGCAAGGCCTTCAAAAATTGCCCCTTGGGAGCTTGTAAATGAGCAGTGTTCTGAAGATAACAGACAAATGAGATTTTCATTGTCCATGAAATTACACTTAAATGATTAGTAAAGACATCCGCAAAGGACAGACAATCAAAAATTCTATTAGAGCAAAGAAGTCCTAAGAATTCAAGAAAAGAAGATACAAATGTAGGATGACTTTTTTACTTGTATAAGTAAAAAAATCTGAATGTCAAAGTAAGCCCAATTTTTTTTTACCTATACAAGTAAATAAAATACACTTGTATAAGTATCCTACAAATTTACTTAAATATGTATATTAATATTTACTTCTTCAAGTAAATAAAAATTACTTGTACAAGGAGTACCCCTGACTGTACATTATGCATGATATGTATTAGCCATAATAGAATTCTTAAAAGAATCAGCACACTGCCATTAAACATTTACCATGATTAACCATATTTACACAAACTGAATATAAAGGTTTCTAAATAAAATTGTTAATTCACTGTCATGACTGTCAAAGGTTTTAATATAAATATTTAAGAATCAAAAGTTTTTGGGTTGCATTGTAAATTAACCATATTTTGAAATATCATATTATAATTTAAGAATTCTGCACGATTCTTATTAGGAAATAACTCTTTTTACCATGCATACCACGATATAAAGATTGAAGGATAGGGAATTAATTAAAAGGCTATGATATGTATATGTATCTATTGGTAAAAGTCACACATTTCTCTATCTTGTATCTAAATTTTAACATCAATGTCTTATTTTTCAGATTTGCAAATTTGGTAAAATCTTAAACAGGCAATATTATTACACATATGGACAGCATAATTCAGCCAACTTCACTGTTGCAGTAAAGAGTACAGATAGTCCTCCTATTGTAACATTGACATTTAATGGAACTGGGTAAGAATTGGGATACATGTACATGTACATTAAATTCTGTCGATATGGCAACCTTTCACATTGGGAATGTTGTCCATTAAGCTCATCTGGGTTTTAGGATTTAAAAATTATTGTAAAACAAAATGACTCCATAATAATAAAACAGTTGTTTTGATAATAAATGGAATATCTGCACAAATTTAAAGGATTAATCAATTCATATTGTCTAAAATTAAAATGTAGATTTTTCTTTTTAAATCAATATTATCAATAACTTATTACATGTAAAAGATAGTCTCATTTATCAGCAGCAGATTTCTTAATCCAAGAAATTTATTTTAAGTTTCTGTGTAAACATGGCAAACATTTTTATCCATTGCATGTCTTAAATAGCAAGTTTTTATTTGACTTGAAGGTAGATATTTATTTGTTCTTCAGAATAAATTAGTCTGAATTTATTATACCTCAAGTACTCAGTATTTGTTATGCTTTTAGGGGCAGAAGGGGCTTACTATTCATTGTTTGCTGGCTGTTTTTCCTTTCTCAACTATAAATTTAAACATATTTTTACTAATACCTGGTAATTATCCACAGACTTATTTCTGTATAACATTTGAAGTTATTACATGTTGCTTATAACATGTAATAATTGAAATGTAATACATATACTTATTATGGTTTTAAAAATGAATATTACAAAAATATTTTAATTGTGGGAAACAATTTATTAATCATAGGATAATCTTCTAATGGTAGTTATAAATAAGATGTTATTAATTTCATATACTTTTCTTTTCAGAGGTAACTTCAGAAAGAAATCTCATATACGTTTAATCTGTGATAAAAGTCTTTTGAATCCTGACACTGCAGTGTTCAGTATAAAGCATGATGATTTGAAAACTGGCATTGTAAGTTTTATTGTTTTCATCCTCTCACAACTAATTTTTAAATCTCTGGAAGGAATTTTGAAAATATTTGTCTATCGTATGTCTGAACCATGATGTTCTTATAATTAGAAGTTTAACTATTAAAGTTTTTGAAATTTTAACAACTTTCTTAAACTATCCTGGATTTATACCACACTTGGACAGAAGCTTGTTTGTGATCATAATATAGTATTCAAAAGTAAATTTAAAAAAAAAAATCCTGTTTATCCGTATATTACTTATAAATGGACTTAGTTTTTCTGCCAGTTAACATTACATTCACTCTGTGGTTAAAGCTTTCAAAATTTTGATAACTTTCTTAAACTATCCTGGATTTGTACCAAACTTGGACAGAAGCTTGTTTATGATCAAAAGCTAGTATCTAGAAGGAAATTTTGTAAAAATTTATTTCCTGTTTTTCCTTATATTACTTCTAAATGGACTAAGTTTTATTCCAGTTAACATTACGTACAGTCTGCAGTTAAAGTTTTTAAAACATTTATTAGATTCATAAACCTTCTTGGATTTTTACCAAACTTGAACAGAACTTCTTACAATTAAAAGATAGTATCTAGAGGAAAAATTTTAATAATTTTTTCCCCATTTTTGTTGAGCCTGAGACTAACAGCAAAAGTGGGCGAGACACTGGGTTCCGCGGACCCTTATGCATTTTTTACTAAAAATGGCACAAATTTATAGAAAATGGAACAATTTTTCTCAATTAACTGTGTTTGTATTTTGGGTTTAAGAAAAGTTTTTAGCCTTAAATATTCTAAATTTATCCATGTTTTCGTAAGTTTGTTGCTTCTCTGTAAGTCAGTTTAGGATTATTAATCTTTTAGGAAATTAGCTGCATTTTTCATGAATCTATGCCATTTCAAGTATAAAATGTGGACTTGAAATAAAAGTTGTTTAACAATAGAAAAGTATTCCTCATTTGAGGGATAGTTACTCGTTTGGGGAACTTATTTTTATAATTCCCTATTTCTCGGGTTTTAACCAACTTACTGAATTAATCTGATTTGATGATTTTTTTCACTACTGTTTTTACAGTGACAGATTTATGTAAAGTAGTGTTTAAATTTTTTTTTAAAATTAATTGAAATTGAAAAGAATTTATTTCATATTTCATTATTCATAATTGATTCGTTTTCTAAATTATTCTCTTCATTATCTTATGACAAATTTATTATGCATGTCATGAATTATCTACAGTATTTAATATTATTTTTCTAGATATCAGAACTTCACCATATATGTTGTTGTCCTGATGCCTGTATGGATGGTATTCCCGCTGACAATTCAACAAACCTGTCTGTAGGTAAGCAAAAATTGAAATCTATAATTATCTTCACATGCAATCTACTACCTTGTCTGCAGGTTATCAAAAATGGAGAGAGTAAATCATTTTTTGGGGATTTAATATTTTTCACTGGTGGCATTTTTTTTTGCAGGTTTGTTTGGAGTCAATTAAAAAGAGTATCATTTCAGTGGCGATTCAGGATTTAAAAAAAAAAAATGTTTTTTGTTGTTTGTTTTTTTGGTGTTTAATGCCACTTTCATTGCACCACATACATGTATGAAATCATGAAAAAAGGTGGAAAAGGTTACATATTTCTTGATAAAGCAGATATACAATTGTTCTTATTATACTTTCAAAATGATACTTTGAGCAATACATACACATTAAATTTGCTCAAACAATTGATGTTTAAAAGCACACCTTTTTCATGGCCATTTATTGGGGTTACTGGCTCTACTACTTTGCATGGGATTCTCAATCAGAACGGTATTGACTATACTGGACAATTAGAATAACAGTATCATAAAATGACTCCACAATGCTAGTCATGCCAGTGTGGGGAGGGCTGTACATTTGATTCAAGCTGGAAAATGTTGTTCAATGCTTTCGATTTAAAGAAAAGCCCTTTATTCATGTTATGTTTATAATCAAGTTACACACAGAAAATTGAAATATTAATTGTTCAGCATTTAAAAGTCAGAAAATGGCTTCTATTTAATCTGTTGGGAAAGTCCAACAGACAACAAAAGAAAAGGAAAAGAACCGAAAGATGTTCAAATGTCAACCACAGTAGAAAATAACATGAGTTTATAAGTTGTCACGAATATATAAAACTTGGATTTTTATGCCCCACCTAGGGGCATTATGTTTTTCGGTCTGTGCGTCAGTTCGGTCGTTTGTCCGTCCGTCTGTCCCGTTTCAGATTAAAGTTTTTGGTTAAAGTTTTTAGTCAAGGTAGTTTTTGATGAAGTTGAAGTCCAATCAACTTGAAACTTAGTACACATGTTCCCTATGATATGATCTTTCTAATTTTAATGCCAAATTAGAGTTTTGACCCCAATTTTACGGTCCACTGAACATAGAAAATGATAGTGTGAGTGTGGCATCCGTGTACTATGGACACATTCTTGTTCCTTATGTACATGTGTCGGCTACAATTAAAGAACTAAACACGTCTTAAAGTATCTGTGAAAATTAGTTGATTTACAATATACTAGCTCCTCTGCTTTTTCTGATTGTTTTTTTGGCAATCAGTTAAAAGTACAATTGCTATTATGCATTCCAGCTGTCATGTAGAACTCTATGTGCCTCACATCACAGTTCAAGGTTGTAGTTACATGTATAAGATCTATCTCAAGAATTTTGATGTTCATTCATATTGTGCATGCTAACAATCAGTTTTTATTTTTACACCATATTATAATTTTTTTGACTATCAAAAACAGCATAGTTTCTTTTAGCCAAGAGTATTATTAATTTTTGCTGTAAACGTGATAAATGGTTTTTTTTTATCTTAAATTTTTACTCTATACTATTGACAAGAACAAAAAAGGGGGGAGTGGACAATTTTTGTTGATTGATTGATTGTTGGTTGCTTAACGTCCAGTGGCAAATATTTTATGCATGTTCAGGATGAAATTTTTGTTGAAGACAGTTAACAACTTTAAAGGTTAAGCAGTGAAGAAGTTCATTTTATACATGTATATTATATATTGTATACTATACATCTATATAAATTTATTGTTATATTTATATCCTGGGAAATATGCACATAGACTTGAACAGTGAGTTGAACTACCATTGTATAGATTTCAATTTGATAGAAAACAAATTATATACTTGACAAATTTAGATTTATTGATATAACATTACTTAAGAATAATATATGATATTAAAGGAACATTTCCTATGCTTAGTCACAGTTATGTGCAGTGCAGAAATTATCATATGTATCATTAACCAAATTCTATGTAATACAAGTACCTGTTATAAACCTTGAACCAGAATAAATCCATTTATAAATATTTACTTTGTATAAGAGTTAAACCTCTACATCAAGGCCACATTCATAAATTCATCATATCTAGGGTCCTTATAATTCTATGTACATGTAGTATATTTACTGTTTATAATTCTATCTAGAACTCATCCCCTAGGCAGGCTGTATATTATCTTTTTCTAGGTCAGATGAACATATTTGACCAGAATTTAGATTTCAAACATGCTCTTAAAAAATTTGGTTAAGAGTAAATAATTTTATATGAATTTAACCTAAAATAGAGTTTTTTCAAGTTATTAGAACTTTCGGTTGTGGAGGTAAATTTCGTGCATTCCAACTATGAATAATATTAAGAAAAAGGGCTGTAGGGTACTAGTCAATAACATGTGACAGTAACTTAACAAAGGATAAAACTAGAAAGGAAAGCTAGAGACCAACATACATTACAGAAGTGACCCTATATCATATGTCTTAGCTCTATATCTCTCTGAATCTGAACAAGTTTGTCAAATCTGCCATCAATACCTATTCCATGTTACAAATCATTCATTAATCATTCATTAATCATTCATTAATCATTCATTAGAGTTTCTGTTTTTCATACTGTTGATTTATTCTTTATAGGGGCCATTGTCCTATAATAAATGAATTTGACCTCAGACTAATGTCATATTTAAAAAAAAAATATTCCTCAGGTGGATATGGGGATCAGGATCAAACCTGGTCACAATCTAGTGTGTGAAGATATTTGCCACTGTTGTTTAAAGTTTAAATGATGCATATTTTTTTACCTTATTTGAGTGACACAAACTACTTGGAGCCTCTAGTTTTGTAACACATATCCTTAATCTTTTTAATTTATTATGTAATATGCCCTACTAATCTTATTTGGTTCAGATACCAGCAAAGCAATTATAGTAAAAATTTGTCCTTGAATTAGATCTCAAACTTTTATCAGTAATATTTTATTTACACAGTTAAATGCATAAATTTTATTAAACCAATTCTCAGCTTGTTGTCTGAAGCTGTGTCATTGTCCCACAACACTAAATCTCCTGTCTTATAATGTTTTCCTGTGACATGAGGTTGCTATGTCATTGTCCCACAACACTAAATCTCCTGTCTTATAATGTTTTCCTGTGACACGAGGTTGCTGTGTCATTATCCCACAACACTAAATCTCCTGTCTTATAATGTTTTCCTGTGACACGAGGTTGCTGTGTCATTGTCCCACAACACTAAATCTCCTGTCTTATAATGTTTTCCTGTGACACGAGGTTGCTGTTTCATTGTCCCACAACACTAAATCTCCTGTCTTATAATGTTTTCCTGTGACACGAGGTTGCTGTGTCATTTGTCCCACAACACTAAATCTCCTATCTTATAATGTTTTCCTGTGACACGAGGTTGCTGTGTCATTGTCCCATAACACCAAATCTCCTGTCTTATAATGTTTTCCTGCGACAGGAGGTTGCTCCTATCTTATAATGTTTTACTGGTTTCACTGTCTTTTCATCTGCAACAGTAGCTTTGAATTCTTTAAATTATCTTGAAGTGGATTAAACAGTTTCAGCACTTCATTATATGGTACAAAAATATATTTCTGTTTCCTGCCTGAGGACCCTACCTACCTTAACCTGCCCTAACACATTTTATGAACATTTTTGAATAAGCACGGATGTTTAAGTCCAGGTATTTTTCTTAAAGCACCATTAAAACGAAAGCTTCCATAAAATAATATATAGTCTGTGTAAAATTTTAAGAATAAAATCATTTACTTACCTACCTCCCCTATTTTTGCTGCCAAGAGACATGAATTATATATTTTAGGTTAAAATGAAGTAATTATTTACATAGGCGACAATGGTAGCCTTTTTTGGTTCTGCGTTTTCACTATAAAAGATCTGTTGATAAAACTCTTAAATTCTGAATTTTCAACACCTTTGGGTGTGAATAAAACTGCAAAACACATATGTGCCGCAGCTTTTTTGATAGAAAAATGGCTATTTTTAAGGGTACTCTGTGGTTCTGGAATATTAATTGTATAAATGAAGAACACCCCTTGCTTAATTTTGCACAGTAATGTTGCTCATCAAGAGTTTCCTCCAAATTTCTCGTTATTTCTCACTATTTCAATTTTGTTTTCTAATTAACATGGCACCAGAAAATAAATTTACTTCTACATATTATCTTGAATGTAAAAACTAGGTATGGCCATTCGTCTTTAATTATACCCCTGCTTTAAAAAAGGGGGGTATACTGTTTTACCTGTCTGTCCATCCATCCGTCCGTCCCATGAATATTTTTCGTCGCATTTTTCTCAGGAACTAAATCATAAGGATTTCTGAAATTTGGTTTCAGGGTTTATATAAGTCAGCTATACCGTGTGATGCGTTTTCAGATTCATCACTCAACAACTTCCTGTTTACCGTCAAGTATTTGTGCGGGGGTATCATTAGTGAGCAGTAGCTTGCAGTTTCACTTGTTACTTCCTTTTAACCATATATACTTTGCCTAACTAAGAACTGCTTTGACGATATCTAAATTACATTATATTTTTTGTTTTGTAGATGCTGCTAATGATAAAGAGAAGAAAAAGTCAGACAGCAGAACTTTGTTATTGATAGTAGCTTTAAATCTTGGCCTGCTGGTTTTTGCTGGTATTATTGGTACAATGTGTTATTCAAAGAGATCTAGTCCTAGTATATACTCAAAACTCCCAGGTTTGTAACTCAGAATATGGATCATTGGTTGGAGGTTTCTGATTTTGACTTTTAATGGTCAAACTTTTTTCTTATTTTGATCATCCTGAACATTCGTGAGATATTTGCCACTGGACATTAAGCAACCAACAATCATGATCTTATTTTGATCTACTTTTCTCATTTTCAAATGTTTCTTTTACGTTAGGGTTCCCACTTCACTTTGCAATTTAAATTGGAAAAACTAGAAAATGTCTGAAATTCATGAATATATGGTAAAATCATTGTCAGTCATCACATTTCAACTTGATATATATGTGAATTTGTCAGATATCATATATAGAGGGAACAACAGTTTCTATGAAATAATGTTTCTGAAGAAGGGCATCCGAGATGGACTGTCAATTTGAATAAAATTTAAATCTCCCCTGTCAGTTTAACCTTGAAAGATAAATAACTAAAACTAATCAAACACTTCACAATTGTAAGTTTTATAAAGATATCACCTGGATTAAGATAAAATATGACACTTTATTTACAGGTAAACAAGTATTTAACTACATCATAACAATAAAGTTATGGTAATATGCACATCAACTATTAAGTTTGTGAATTCGGACAAATATGCAGGTGTTATTTTTTTTTTTTAGCTCACCTGAATCAAAGGATCAAGTGAGCTATTCTCATCACTTGGCGTCTGTAGTTTGACGTCCTTCTTTGTCTGTTAAAACTCTTACAAAAATCTTCTCCTATCTAACTAATGGGTCAATTGATACCACACTTGGCCATAAATCATCATGTCCAGGGTGTTCAGTCAATTATGATATATTTCCATTTTTGTATTCAATGAGAAAATTATCCACACCAATGTTACATTTCCCATCCCAAGAAACATGTATCTTGTTTTAAAATGTGTTCAATGATGCTGCCTACCAACCTACATGACAGGACATTGCCAAAAGAAGAACATAAGGTTAAAATGCAAGTTTTGCAATTACTTTTAAAACTGCTATAGATAGAGAAAATCTGACTCCTTAAAGGAGTTACTTACCCTTAAATGGTGAGTTTTACCCTTTTGGTATTTTTGCATATTTTCTCAAAATAAAATAGAGAGAAACTGTACATCATAAAAATGATCTGCAAGACAAGATTTTCAGGCATATTTTTGGCAAAAAACAATAGTTGATAGATAGAAAATGAAAAAGGAAAAATGATTGTCAAGACAAGATCAACAAAAAAGAAATCTTAGAAATGAATTACAATTTTGTAGAGTGGCCATTGTTGAAAATGGACATACATGTACATACAAGTGAATGACCAAACATGCTCTTTTAAAGCCTCTAGTTTAGTATCCAATTTTCATTTGATACTTTTAGCCTTAGAGTTAAAGTGTTTAAAAATCATTTTATTTTGATTTCTCTTATTAAAAAAAAAAGACATGCTGAAAATTCACAGATTATTATAGTATAGTGAAAATATGCAATCAAATTTCATAAGAGTGGTTTCTACTTATCTGAATATATTACAATAGTTGATTGGTCAGTTTTATAGTTTCAATAGTTTTTAAACTCAATGGCTAATTCAGTCAAGGGAGATTTGGTACGCAGTTGTATTAGCATTTGCAATTCTCTTTTCCATGGAGATTATATAGCCATGCCCTATCATCATGGCTCATTACCTTTAAAACTTTTGCCTATTTTACAAGTTTAAGTTAGTGTTTAGGTTAGTTTAAAGGGAACCACTAATAAGAAGTCAATGGTATTTGGTATGCAGTTTTATAAGCATTGGAATTTCTCATTTCCATGGAGGCTATTTAACCTTGCAAATGCAGTCATGGTTCATCGACTTTGAATGTTTTGCATAGTTTACATGTTTGAATATTGCCATTTTTGTCAAGCCTGCGACTTTTGTCGCAAAAGCGAGACATAGCGATCCTACATTCCGTCGGCGTCATCGATGACGGCGGTGTCCACAAATATTCACTCTGTGGTTAAAGTTTTTGAAATTTTAATAACTTTCTTAAACTATCCTGCATTTCAACCAAACTTGGATAGAAGCTTGTCTATGATCATAAGATAGTATCCAGAAGTAAATTTTGTAAAAAAAAAATCCTGTTTATCTGTATTTTACTCATACATGTCATAAATGGACTTAGTTTTTCTGCCAGTTAACATTACATTCACTCTGTGGTTAAAAGTTTTTAAAATTTTAGTAACTTTCTTAAACTATCCTAGATTTGTACCAAACTTGGACAGAAGCTTGTTTATAATCATAAGATAGTATCCAGAAGAAAATTTTGTAAAAAAAAAATCCTGTTTATCTGTATTTTACTCATATATGGACTTAGTTTTTCTGCCAGTTAACATAACATTCACTCTGTGGTAAAAGTTTTTATATGACCGCAAAAAAATTTTGTGGTCGTATATTGGTATGACGTTGGCGTCGTCGTCGTCTTCGTCCGAAGACACATTGGTTTTCGCACTCTAACTTTAGTTTAAGTGAATGGATCTCTATGAAATTTTACCATAAGGTTCAATACCACAAAAGGAAGGTGGGGATTGATTTTGGGGGTTATGGTACCAACAGTTAAGGAATTAGGGGCCAAAAAGGGGCCAAAAATAAGTATTTTTGTAACTTCCAGACATAACTTGTGTGTTAGTGTATGGATCTCTCTGACATTGTACCACAAGGTTCCATATCACAAAGGGAATGCTGGGATTGATTTTGGGGGTAATTGCCCCATATGTTAGGAATTAGGGGCCAAAAAGGGGCAAAAAACAAGCATTTTTCTAGTTTCATGACAATAAATTGTGTGTAAGCGTATGGATCTCTCTGACATTGTACCACAAGGTTCACCATATCACAAAGGGAAATCTGGGATTGATTTTGGGGGTTATTGCCTCCAAATTTTAGGAATTAGGGGTCAAAAAGGGGCAAAAAACAAGCATTTTTCTAGTTTCATGACAATAACTTGTGTGTAAGTGTATGGATCTTTATGAAATTGTACTACAAGGTTCCATATCACAAAGGGAAAGCTGGAATTGAGTTTGGGGGTAATTGCCCAAAAAGTTTAGGAATAAGGGGCTAAAAAGGGGCCAAAAATAAGCATTTTTCTAGTTTCCAGACAATAACTTGTGTTCAAGTGTATGGATCTCTCTGAAATTATACTGCAAGGTACCATACCACAAAGGGAAGGCTGGGATTGATTTTGGGGGTAATTGCTCTAAACGTTTAGGAATTAGGGGCAAAAAAGGGGCAAAAAAACAAGCATTTTTCTAGTTTTAGGATTATAACTTGTGTGTAAGTGTATTGATCTTTATGAAATTGTACTACAATGTTCCATATCACAAAAGGAAGATGGGATTGAGTTTGGGGGTAATTGCCCTAAACGTTTAGGAATTTGGGGCCAAATTTGGGGCCAAAAAGGGGCCAAAAAACAAGCATTTTTTTAGTTTCCAGACAATAACTTGTGTTCAAGTGTATGGATCTCTCTGAAATTGTACTGCAAGGTACCATACCACAAAGGGAAGGCTGGGATTGAGTTTGGGGGTGATGAATCATAAGGGGGTTCAAAAAATTTTGGGGGGAGGGGGATTTTTTTTTCCTTTTTCTTCTTTAAAATTTTCCATTTTAAATTGGTTATTTCTGATTTATATATAAAAGCAAATAATAACGATATGGTTTGAATAGGTAAATTAAAATTTTTTAAGTTCTTAGACCACATTCATTCTGTGTCAGAAACCTATGCTGTGTCAAATATTTAATTACAATCCAAATTCAGTGCTTTATCAAGCTTGAATGTTGTGTCCATACTTGCCCCAACTGTTCAGGGTTCGACCTCTGCGGTTGTATCAAGCTGTGCCCCAGCGGAGCTTTCTATTCAAATTTTAATAACTTTCTTAAACTATCCTGGATTTGTACCACACTTAGACAGAAGCTTGTTTATGATCAAAAGCTAGCATCTAGAAGGAAATTTTGTAAAAAAATTATTTCTTGTTTTTCCGTATATTACTTATAAATGAACTTAGTTTTATTCCAGTTAACATTACATACAGTCTGCAGTTAAAGTTTTTAAAATATTTATTAGATTCATAAACCATCCTGGACCATCCTGGATTTTTACCAAACTTGGATAGAAGCTTCTTACAATCAAAAGATAGTATCTAGAGGAAAATTTTTAATAATTTTTTCCCCATTTTTGTTGAGCCTGCGACTAACAGCAAAAGTAGGCGAGACACTGGGTTCCGCGGAACCCTTACGAATTTTTTATTTCAATATTTGCATTGTACTATCAAAATGACAAAAGGCGAGACATATCTCTGTGTTAACAATTTATGAATTTTTGTATTTTATTTTTAGGTATCGGGGCAGTACCTTCAACACAAGTAAATTTCAGTTCCATAGATTTAGAAAAAGACACCTTAGAAATGCCTAAATCATCACATTCTTCCGTAAGAGATTATGAACCATGGGCAGAACGGAAGAAACAAGTCATGATGCCTATATTTGATGATTGTGTCATACCTAAAGATAATATAGAACTAGCACAAAGGTACGTCAAGATATATTAGGACCAGTCCAATTTTAATTTGGGTTAGGATTTCCTGCATTGATGTTTCGTAAAATAATGATTTGAATAAAGACTATGAAAAAGATGCAACAACTTTAACATGTGCCGTGCATGGACAAAAGTTGTTCTTTTTTCAATATTTTCCTATTAATTTATACAAATTTGCAGATTTTTTTAAGGCAGATTATAATTTAAGTACCCATATTAAAAAGCTGATTAAAATTATCTATATAATAGACAGTAACAATCGGTCTTGAACTACCAGAATTCATCTATAATTGACCACTTTAAAATAGAATATCTATACATAAGTGCAAATTATCATCTTTATATAAGATATCATGTAATAAAATATATTTTGGGGTAAAGCCATGGCTCATATCTAAATATGAAAGACAAAATCTCAAAAAGAGGCTATTTTGGAGAAAGGGGTTCCAGAAGGATACCCTCCTAAAGTCACAAGGTCACCATGTCACTTTTAAGCAAATTCAATAAATCTGTGTTAAAGGTCACAGGTCCTTTAAAATGAGATGTAAGATGGCAAGATTGCCTGCTAAAAACCTCAGAGTCAAGGTCAAATTTGAGAATCTTGGAGCCACAAGAAGTTTGAAGCGAATACTCCAGACAGAATAAAAAAATATAAGATAGTAATATTTGACAGATTATTATCTTTTAAATTTTTAGAGGGTTTATAGTATTTGATTTTCAAATTCAAAGGTAAAAAAAAAGTGGCCTTATCATACCTTCTTTGAAATACAGATATTATATATATATATATCTTTTTCCAGTTCTAAAATTAAGTTAAATATAACATTTTCAGGTTAGGAGGTGGCTTGTATGGTGACACATATTTTGGTGATGTAAAAGGGTTAAAGGTCGCTGTTACAAGGATTACACTGAACCTTCACAAGGAGCAAAAGACATCAGAAATGTTACAATGGCTAAAAGATGAAGTATGGTTTTTAAGGTAATTAATACATTTGGTTAAAAGTATACCATTACATTTTCAATGTAGAGTGATTTTTGTCTCCCTGGACAAAGTCACAAAGGTAAGACTTAGGCATGCTGTTTCCGAAATATCCACAAATCTTCCAATACAATACTATGATCACCATTTTGAAATGCAACTGAAACTGCTGCTAAATCCATACATTTTAAAACCAGTCAAACTGCATCTTTGTTTTTGACATGGAATAGAAGTTCCTTTATAATATTAGTTCCAGATTGAAGAAATATTCTAGAATATTACTTCTATCAGAAGAAATATTACAGAATTTGTTCCTAACAAAATTAAGGGTATATAGACTATTGGTTTTAACAGGAGCAGATATTATAGCATTGTTTAAAATATAAGTTTCCAGGGGAACTTTTTTTTAGAAGGAACAAACTCAACAAACATATCTTGACACTTATTTCAGACCATCAATTATGTAAATTAATTACCTAAAATTTGCTACATTATCCAATCAAAATGAATGCTGCATACAAATTTGCATTATAATAATGAATATCTACTGAAGTAGGCCTATTTTTAAAAACAAAAGCATTATTAATGATTATATAATTAACAGAATTTAATAATTTCTATTTAGATAGTTTCCAGTTTATTTATACCAGCTTTTTTAGTTAAAAACTTTAGTTTTTGTCTCGCCTTGACGGAGTCAAAAAGCGAGACATAGGTATGCTGTTTCCGCCGCCACGGTCACCGTCGCCGCCAACAATGTATTAGTTTGTGATTAGGTCTAGTTCATGGTGAACCACAATGGTAAGTCAATGATATTTGGTATGCAGTTGTATTAGCATTGGCACATCTCATTACCATAGAGATTATTTGGCCCTGCCCCCTCAGTCAAGGTGTATTGACTTTGAAACTTTTCATAGTTTACATGTATTAGTGTAGGTCAGTTCAAGGCGAACCATTAGTGGTAGGCCAATGTTAATTGGTGTTCAGTTGTATAAGCATTAGCACATCTCATTTCCATGGAGAATATTTGGCCCCGCCCCCCTCAGTCATGGTCTATTTACTTTGAAACTTTTGCTTAGTTTACATGTATTAGTTTGCGACTAGATCAGTTTAAGATGAACTGCTAATGTTAAGTCAATGATATTTGGTATGCATATATTGGCATTTGCAAGTATTGTTTCCATGGAGATTATATAGCCCCACATCTGATCATGGTTCATTGACTTTGAAACTTTTACATAGTTTACAAGTTAATGTTTGTGTTTAGGTTTTTTTAAAGGGAACGACTTATAATAAGTCAATGGTATTTGGTATGCAGTTGTATTAGCATTGGCACATCTCATTCCATGGAGATTGTTTAGCCATGTACCTTCAGTCATGGTTCATCGACTTTGAATATTTGCATAACTTACATGTTAAAGTATTGCTATTTTAATTTCAACATTTGCATTATCAAAATTACAAAAAGGTGAGACATATCTCTGTGATAACAGTTTATCTTGCTATATATGTATTTTGCTTCTTTGTAGCCGACAGAGACACAGAAACATTGTAGCTATGTTAGGGTTGTGTACAGACTCAAAATTTCCATATATAATGTCAGAATTCATAGAAGGCTTCACTGTTAAAAATTATATACAGAATAAAGGGGATTTAGTTTCCTGGCCACTTAGAGTCAAAATTGTAAGTATGTAAAATCGTGGTTTGAGTTTTAAGACTTTCATGCCATATTCAACTCCTAAAATGGTAAAAGGGCAAGGATGCAAATATTAAAGTTATGACATGTATGAATTTGATAAACGTTGGCTGTAATCCAGTGGAATTTTCAAATGATAATTATACTCCCGCTTTTAAAAAGTGGGGGTATACTGTTTTACCTCTGTCTGTCCGTCCATCCGTTAGTCCATCTGTCCATCCATCCCATGAATATTTTTTTTGCATCTTTCTCAGGAACTACATCATTAGGATTTCTGAAATTTGGTTTCATGGTTTATATAAGTCAGCTTTACTGTGTGATGCGTTTTCAGAATCATCACTCAACAACTTCCTCTTTACCGAACACTTACATTTGGGCGGGGGTATCATCACTGAGCAGTAGCTCAGTTTCACTTGTTGTTTTTGCATAATGATATCAGAAGTTAGATGTTAAATCCAAAAAGGGGGATGGTGATTATAAAAATTATATTCAATACATTTTTAATTTTTTGGTTTGTTGGAAGTATGCAAAATTGCACAAATATCAAAAGGTACACATGCTTGCTCAAATATATGAGAAATGATAAGGACAGAAAACATTGACTTCATTCTTGCTATTGTTATCACTGCCTTTATCATGTTTGTGGTCTTATGTTAGTCTACCTGCCTAAAGTGCGTGGGTTATTAATCAATAATTTAATTTTGGATGTAACATGTCTTCTGATTGGCTGAAAGTGTTTTGTATATCAGCTCATAGACATAATTTTGTCATGTGAACGTGACGTCATCAACGTTTTTATCATGATTTACTCCTTTTTAGAATTAAATTATAAGGAATGACTGTAATATTTTTTCTGTCTATTCGAAATTACCTAAAAAATGTGGTGCACACTTTTAGATAACCCGCTACGCAGGTTATTCAGTGTGCACCACATTTTTAATGTTATTTCTTCATAGACAGAAAAAATATTACAGTCATTCCTTAATTAACAAGTCAATTTAACCAAAGACTTGAAAAAATTAGTACCTGCTGTCTATAAAGTTTTCAGTATTTGTATTATACAATCAATGGTATATACTGGCAAGACATATCTCTGTGTCAATAGTTTATTTTATATCATATTAATTTTTCAGTGTTTACAAGCTGCTGATGGTGTTGCCTATCTTCATTCTACAAAACCTCCCATCATACACAGAGATCTCAGATGTGCTAATTTATTTATATCTCATCATGAAATTGTAAAGGTAGGTTTCTCTTTCTGTGTATTAGCCTCCTTTTAGTAGAAGCACCTCCATGTGGAGATTTTAATCTTATTTAAAAGATTATGGTGTTAAACATACTTGGTAGAATTCGTCAAAGATACCAGGATTATAATTTAGTATTCCAGACATACATTTCATCTATGTAAGACTCACCAGTGGCGCTCAAATCAAAACCAATGGAAGGCAAAACCAATATTGAGGTTGAAAAGCAGTGGTCACCAAAAAATCCAAAATGTTGTGTCAAATTTGACTAAGACCATCTTAACTCTTGGTGCGAAACATTAATGTTTTGAAAGATTTTACAATTTTGTTAACAATTAATTTATAGTAAAACTGTGAACCATTAAGGTCGTTCAAAATGGCGAAATTTAAAACTCCACAAAAATAAAGCACATTACAGTATATATATCAATGTAGCAATGAGACAATATTTACATGCTGTTTATTTGTTGACAGGTTGGAGATTTTGGTTTAATTAAACTGATACAACCATTGAGAAAATTATGTCAACAGGAAGATTGCTGTTGTAAGTTATATTTATTTGGTGAATGCTTCTCCTTGCATTGGAGCACAAATAAGTCCAGTAAACAACTGCTTGTTTTGGAGGAGTAATTGTTTGCCAAAGCCAACAAACCAAACATGTTAGGACTAGAATAGTGAATTTAGCAGATTTTTTTGTTAATGAATTTCCATAGAAGTTATTGTATTCTTGTAGTAAAGATAGTGCAAGTGAGCTACAGTTTAATCTCTTTATCTTGAAGTCTTCAGGATCTAAAAATCAATTTGAGACATGATTCCTTTCTTGAATTAAAGATTTTTTAAACGTTCAATGGTAGATAACTCTTGAATAATAATGATATTGCATGTTTAAGTTCATTATTTTTTAGAATCTTTTTATTTCTTTACTTCAATTATCTTTTATTTCACTCTTTCTTGCGATAAGAAAAAATATTGATTGGTAGTTGTTTGCTTAATGTGTTGGTTGCAATATTTCATGCATACTTAAAGAATAATAAAACTGTAAATCAATAAGATTCAAGGGGAGACAAATGATATTTATTGTGTATTCTCAAGATTGTTGTTATGACATGAACAGCTTTCTGTATTTGAATGGTTTGAAAAGTTTTAAACTTTCAATGGAAAAAGAACAATATAAATATTTATCAAAAGAATATGATGAATAAGAAGACCTTCATAATGAGAATAAAACAAGGGGAGATAACAAGGGGACAACAAAAAACATAGTTGAGAAAACTCCATGGCACAAAGAAAAAGACAAACAGCAGTTCACAAAACACCACACAGGTAAATCTGTTTTGTTACATGAACCCCATCAAAAACTGAGGGTGATTTCAGTTACTCTGGTAAGCAATTTCTTATCAGTTAGTAGCACGCGTCATAATGCTCTTAGCAAGTAAAAGTTTTATAAAAAGTCCAATTTGGTGAAGTCACAATTGAGGAAAAGAATGCAGATCTAATACATTTAAAATTGACATTCAATAATTTTAACTTTAGTATTAAAGTTAAAATCTTTTCTAATTTTGTATTTCTAGGTCAAGGTCATATCTGTGCTTGTCCTTCCTCTTTACGATGGACTGCTCCAGAAGTCCTGAACCACCCAACTTCAGAAGAAAAAGATAGATTTATCTCCCTTAAGTCTGATTCCTACTCCTTTGGTGTGTGTATGTGGGAGGTTGTTATGTGTGATGATCCATTTGATGATGTACAAATAGAGCAAGAGGTATAAAATCAGTCATTTAAACATTTTTTGTCGTCAAACAAGATATTGCATTAGACAAGTGATTTATTTGTTCCCAGTTCATGAAATTTTGAATGGCATGATTAGTTTTTATACGATGGCAAAAGTTTTGCTGTCATATAATGGTACGATGTTGTCGTCGTCATCGTTGTCCCAAGACATTTCGTTTCCAGACAATAACTTGAATATAAGTGTATTTATCTCTATGAAATTGTATCACAAGGTTCAATACAACAAAAGGAAGGTTGGGATTTATTTTTGGGGACTATTGTCCTAACTGTTTAGGAATTAGGGGCCAAAAACAATCTTCTTGTTTCAGGACAATAACTTGTGTATAAGTGTATGGATCTTTATGAAATTGTACCACAAGGTTTCATACCTCAAAAGGAAGGTTGGGATTGATTTTGGGGGTTGTAGTCCAAATCTTTTGGGAACTTTGGGCCAAAAAGGGTCCAAAAAAAGGATTTTCTGGTTTTGGGACAATAACTTGAGTACTTGTCTTTGGATCTCTATAAAATTGTACCACAAGGTTTCTTACCAAAAAAGGAAGGTTGGAATTGATTTTGGGGGTTATGGCCCTAACCGTTTAGGTAAAAGGGAGCCAAAATTAAGACTTGTCTAAAACTCTGTATAAATTGCTGATTTCTTGACCAATTTCAATGGGGTTTAATTCAAAGTCTCAAATTGTTGGGTATCTTTAATATGTTAATATGTTGAATCTAACTGTGTATTTAGATTTTGGATTTTTTTGTCCCTGTTTTTAAATTGGTCCACATTCAGGTCCAAAGGGTCCAAAATTAAACTTTGTTTGATTTCATCATCGAACATTCAATTATTGGGGATCTTTGATATGCCACATCTAACCTAGTATTTAGTTTTTTTAATGTTGCGCCCCACTGTCAAATTAGTCCACATTTAGGTCAAAAGGATTCAAAATTTAACTTTGTTTGAGTTCATCATAGTGGTCTTGGAGTTCTTTGATATACTAAATTTAACCATGCATTCAGATTTTGGATATTGGACCATAATAGGTAAGTGTCCAATTTTAAATTTTAAGTTCTTAGAACACATTCATTCTGTGTCAGAAACCTATGCTGTGTCAAATATTTAATCATAATCCAAATTCAGAGCTGTATTAAGCTTGAATGTTGTGTCCATCCTGGGTGTGGAAATATTTGTTGTGACCACTTGTCCCCGGGCAAGTGAAATTGTAAATTTTACTTGTCTGGAAGAAGAATTACTTGCCCTGATTTCTTAATAAATTTTGGAGTGAAGAAGATGTATTTTACTGTAAACATGTATGTTTCTAAAACAGTAATTAAACACTATGAAAATGGTATCCATGGTCTTTGTTTGTATGTAAGAATGCATGTATGATAAAATGATAAGTAGAGTATACACCAATGAGATAGAAACCAACCAAAAAACAATTCAAACTTAAGAATCTAGAGGCCAATTTTGTAATGTCCACATACTTATTTTTGTATTAATTGATCTATTTCTTAATCATTGATGTTGCTTTACTTAAACATGTTGCTTTCATAATGTTATTTGACATTTTTTCTACTTTGATGAAAAATTTTGAGGACTTTTCTATATGGGTATATAAATTAACATTGTCAAGCAATACTTTTTTTACTTGACCATGGGCAACAAAGACACAAAAAATTGCTTGTGCGGTCAAATGTACGAGTAGGGCAAGTCAGGCCTAGCATTTCCACACCCCTGTGGGACCATAATTGCCCCAACTGGTCAGGGTACGACCTTTGCAGTCTTATCAAGCTCACCTTGCAGATTATTTTATTTTAACATCGTTTAAAAATTTTACAATACCTTATTGAAACATAAGTTTGAAATGCTTGCATGTTTTAGATTATGTCATTCAAAACACAATGTTGGCTTGGAATAGCATTGTTGCTTTAAACTTATGTTGTGTGCTGAGGAATGAATTTTGTTCTGTGTTAATGTAGATCAATACTTAACTTCATTGTTACAGAAATTGTCTGAAAGAGAGTTGTTTGCTTTGGCTATTCCAGGAAAAAATGAATGGGAGGGTTGGACACCATATGGAATTTTTTTCTTTATGTAATAATGGTGGAGCAAATATAAATCTGTCACAAAAGAAATAAAAATATTTGATGGTAGAGTATACAAAAAAATGTTGTTCCTGGAATAGCCTTTATATTTAGCAAATTGTACAATTGGAATTCCTTATTTTTAAATTTGCATCACTATATATAGGTGTTTTTGAGAAATTGGGGTCATAATTTATTCATTTGTGATGATATTATACAGAAGGTCCTTTATAAAAAAGTTGTTTTGATAAAATTGATTATTTAATGGAGGATTTATTCAGATAAATAAGGTACAGGACATAAAGAGGAAACATTGTGCATCTGTTCTTCTTTTCTTTATATTTCGTAAAACTCTGTAAATTTTGGTTGATTTATTTTAACTGTAGTTACCTCTTAAAATAGTTAAGGAATCTGTTCAATGCATAGAAATTTTAGTGAAGTAGACTCTAATTGGTTTCTTTTTTACAGATAACCTTACATTATACCATTTTTCAGGTGATGGAGTTGGTTAAAGACGGTATCCGTCCTGAAATCCCAGAAACTGTTGATATAATGCCTCAGTATAGAACATTAATGAACCAGTGTTGGAACGGAGAGCCCGAAAACAGACTTTCTTTTAAACAGGTGAAACACAGTCATTCCAAAAGTTGTTGGACTGTCAGGGATTGGCGGTATAAAAAATATTGCAGTCCAACAAAAAAATCGGGGAAAAAAACAGACTGGAGGTGCTGTATAAACCTATTCGCAGATTAAAGACAATTTCAAAACTTTTGCCATTCTCCTTTCCGACTTATCATGTCATGTTGCATATAGTCATTTTAATTTTTAATGCTAAATAATAAAATAACATATTTCCATTTCTGTTAATGCATATTTATAAAAATACAGGTCTTTGTCTTTTTAATTTAATATAACCAACATGGCAGTATAAATGTAACAACAGGTCACAAATGTAAAAAGTGAATCAATTCAATATCGCATGCTTACCACAGCACTATCAAAAAATCCTGAGGAAAACACTGATGTTGATCTTGAAAAATTATGAATGTGCAGTCCCTGGTAAAAGAAAACATGGGAAAATAAATGATGAAGAAATACAAAACATTTGAGAGAGTATGATTAAATCATAAACATTAATGAAATAAAGTATAAAAGTCTGAATAATGTGTTTTATTAAAAAAATTTGACACTTGTATTTTGGTCTGGTAAAACCTCATTCAGTCTTGTAAATTTTTTGAGTTTACAGGACCGAATGTCCTGTAAAATCTGAGAGACCTTGGGAATGACTGGAAGCATTGATTTGACTTTAAAGAATTTATTGTTTATCATGTTTATGGCAGCTGTATGCAAAATTTTACAAAAATCTGTGACATGACCTGTTTACTGTAACTTGACCTTAACAAAAACCTCATTGTATTTATATTATGCTAGAAGTTGAAAACATAAATTTATATTTCAGATCGCAACCAAATTGAAAGAATTAGTATCCCCAGCCAGAAATTTTCAAAAGAACATTTTGAATAAACAGAAACTTCAAAAATTACAATATGAAATTGGGGTCAGTGACTCAGATAGTGTTAATAGATTAAGATATGACAGTGGTAAGCGAATTCACAGAGATTCAGAAAGAAGTACAGCATTCAGAATGGACAGTGGAAGAGGACGCGTTCACAGAGATTCAGAAAGTAACTACGTACAAAATATTGACAATGGTACTCCACGAGTTCACAGAGATTCAGAAAGTAGTTCCAAACTGAAATCAGACAATGGTATTAAGCGATATCACAGAGATTCAGAAAGTAGTTCCATACTTAAAACAGACAATAGTATTCAGCGACATCACAGAGACTCAGAAAGTAGTTCCATATTGAAAACCGACAATGTTTCACATAGACTTCACAGAGACTCCGAAAGCGGTTCAGTATTAAAAAGTAACAGCAATAATCTTTCTAAAAATGATAGCTTTAAAGGATCTGTTAAGAAAGTTGATTTCAAAGATGATGTTTAGCAATAATTCAGATAACTGTATTTGAAGGAAGACTACTAGAATGTTTTATTAAACTTTTTATTGCCTCCTTATTAATCAGAAAAAATTAACAACAATTTCTGTCATTTTCTCTTGTCAATGTCTCTTCTATACCTAGAAAACCCTTGCTTTCAATTAGAAAATGGTTCAAAAGTGACATGATATGCACGTAGGTATCTTGATACAAGTTTATCTATAAAAATTGAAATAATTTGAAAAATAGAAAAACTATTTAGTTTTTGGTCTATAAACTAACCCAACTAAGTAGGGTTGGCCATGCATGCATGGTTAAGGGTCTTCAATTATGAAACATAGAAGTAAATATAGCACTAACTAACACCTTAGCAATGCATGTTTGGCTCACCCTCCTTAGTTACAGAAATAAATCATTACCAAATTAATCTACATTTCCCAAAATTCCAGTTTCCAATAATTTCCTTTTTTTTGACCTTTCTGAATTTTATTAGTACCTTAAAAAATAAGTGATTCTCAAACCTCAAGGTGATCCATCTGATTTTTTACTTATCATGTTGTTTCGACAAAAATCACACTGTTTAAACACTAAAATCAGATGTAGTTTGGTTAATTGAATGGAAAATCATATCATGTGAACAGAACGCTGTACCATTGACTTGTGCTCAAATCGGATTGAAAATCGAATGGAAAATTTTATCTTGTAAAAGCACCTTAAGGTGTACATTATTATTTCATTTTGTTATTTTTTGTCATTGCAAACCTACCAATATTTCAAAACTTTAGTGGTGAATTAACAGCACTGCAGGAGTTCAAAGTTTAATTAGGTTTATTTACTATTTTTGTTTGGAAAAAGAAAATTGTCAGTGAAAATGGACAGATATGCATATTATCATAATTTTATTATTATCAATTCCATAATTACATGCATGTATAACCAAGAAGAATTAATTGATGATGATAAGACTTTTTTATTCTTTTGAATTACTGTAATGTCTTGACAAGATTGAAATAATCAAGATTAATATTTTTTCTAGAATGGGAGGGTTGCTACTGCAATCATTTCTTTTGCATAATAAAATGGAAAAAAAAAGTTTGCCTTGTGAACTGAATAATAGACTAATGAATTCTTTATTTAGAGGGAAAGCACACTGGTACAACGCACAAATCTTCCCTGGGGCCCTCAATGCTTTTTTTGAAATGTTTCCAACATTTGTTATTGCTTGGCTGAATATTGACAATCCAAATTGTCTCCCTTTTGGGAAAAATTCTAAACTCAGGAAAAAGCAATGTTTGCATGGAATTTTTTACAAAAATCATTTTCTAGTAGCAACAGTTGGTAAAGTTTGTATAGTTTATACTTAAATCATGATATTTGCTGGAGTTTCATCGTCTGATATATTTTTTGTTTGCCCAAATCTATAAACTTATATATGATTTCCTGTAGGAACTTAGTAGTAAATACGTACCCAAGAAAGTTTGCATGATGTTATATAATTGGTAGTAGAGTTTACGTATAAAGAAGGTCTTTTTCTTGGCAGCCCAGTTTTTACTCTTAATAACACGTGCACTAACCAACACAAAATTATACAAAGCAACAATAAAAAGTATTATCAAAAATACCAAACTCCAATCTAAATTCAAAAAGGGGGAAGTCCATACAAAGCAAAGAAGGTGTTGTTAAACCCCAACAAAACAAACGAACAAAACCCTTGTTTACTTAAATTTTATGCAAGTTACCAGTAGGTGCTAAATCTTGAATTAAGTTTATTTGTTTGTTTTTAATATTGTACAATATTTGATATTGTTTGTTATATAATTTAATATATAATGATTGTTAATTATCCAGTTATTTTACTTGCCAGTATTCACATGCCAAAATAGTGAAGAATGAGTATCATCTTTTTAGTGTATAAAAAATATACTGACCATCGAAAGAAATACATCTGAGGTTTGATATTCTGTCTCAGATATTTCCATGGAAATATGAAAATTGGAAAACTAAAATATAATAGAACATATAATTTGATGACTTTTTCATTCCCAATTTATACCAAAAGGTTGTTGGTTAGAAATCGCCACGATTTTTCAGGGGGAAAATGTTTTGTATTGAAAGGAAAGTTTTGTTGCTCATAGAGAAATAACAGAAAATACGATTCTTGGTTGAAACATTTAATGTTCACCCCAGTAATTTCTAAAGTGAAAAATTCAAATATACATTCATAAAATAAGAAAATATTTATTGTTTCCTGAACCAAATTATAAACATAATAATGACTGAATTGATTTCTATTAAACTTGTTTTGTAGTCAATGGTTTTATTAGTTTTGTATTAGAAACCAAAGTTTTATAAGCAATCAGAGATTGTGGTTTGCTTGTCCCACAACACTGTGTGTTGGTTGCATTTTTATACGACCGCAAAAAAATTTTGAGGTTGTATATTGGTATGACGTTGGCGTCGTCGTCGTCGTCCGAATACACAATGGTTTTCGCACTCTAACTTTAGTTTAAGTGAATGAATCTCTATGAAATTTTACCATAAGGTTCAATACCACAATAGGAAGGTGGGGATTGATTTTAGGGGTTATGGTACCAACAGTTAAGGAATTAGGGGCCAAAAAGGGGCCGAAAATAAGCATTTTTGTAACTTTCAGACATAACTTGTGTGTTAGCATATGGATCTCTTTGACATTGTACCACAAGATTCCATATCACAAAGGGTCAATGCTGGGATTGATTTTGGGGTTAATTGCCTCAAAATTTTAGGAATAAGGGGCCAAAAGGGGGCAAAAAACAAGCATTTTTCTAGTTTCATGACAATAACTTGTGTGTAAGTGTATGGATCTTTCTGAAATTTTACTACAAGGTTCCATTTCACAAAGGGAAAGCTGGAATTGAGTGTTGTGGTAATTGCCAAAAACGTTTAGTAATAAGGGGCCTAAAAGGGGGTTTAAAATAAGCATTTTTTAGTTTCTAGACAATAACTTGTGTTCAAGTGTATGGATCTCTCTAAAATTGTATTACAAGGTACCATACCACAAAGGCAAGGCTGTTATTGAGCTTGGTTTGGGGGGAAAGGGGGGTGGGGGTGATGAATCATAAGGGGGGCGGGGGTCAAAAAAGGGGTAATTTTTTTGTTTCCTTTTTTTTTTGTTTAAAATTTACATTTTAAGTTAGTTATTTTTTATCACGAAGAGAAAGTAGGAATTGAGTTTTGGGGTTAATTGCTCAAACATTTATGAATAAGTGGCCAAATATTGGTCGAAAATAAGGATTTTTTTAGTTTGCAACAAAAACTTGTGTTCAAGTGTATGGATCTCTGTGAAATTGTATTGCAATGTACCATACCACAAATTGAAGGTTGTGATTGAGGTGGGGGATGATGAATCAAAAGGGGGTTGAAAAAATGTGTGGGGGGTAGGATTTTTTTTTTTCCTTTTTTTTTCTTTAAAATTTTCCATTTAAAGATGGTTGTTTCAGATTTATATATGAAAGAAAATAATAATGATACGGTTATATATCATGAGGAACTGAAATTTAAAATTATGTATATTGGAAATTTAGGTTACATTGGAAAGTAATAATTGGCTTTGGGGGGGGGGGGGGGGGGTGGTTATGGCTCTATTGTTTAAGGAATAAGGGGAAAAAAGGTTAAAAAACAAGGGTTTCCATTTTAATAGACAAATAATTGAGTAAAGAACATTATTTAAAAGCAGTGTAAGGTTGGTAATTCAAACTCATTTAAATATCTCATCTACACTGCTTTTAAATTATGTAAATTGGAAATTTGCCAATAACTTTATTGTTAATAAATGCATTGGAAATTTGCCAACAATTTTAGTGTAATAAACTTCATTGGAAATTTGCCAATATAAAATTTTGCTGATGAAGGTTTTTTGTTTACCTTTAGCCTTGACTATGAAGTCATTTTCTATTTTTATAGCCTTATGATGTAGTTGAATTATTTAATACTTTTATGATGTGTTTAAATGGGGTTTTATCATGTTTATGGTTGCAAATTTATTGTTTTAGTATAATAAACTCCATTTAAAATTTGCCAATAAAAAAAGTTTTTGTTTATTTTTAGCTATGATTATGATGTCATTTTCTATTTTACTTTTATGGTTGCAAAGAAATTTTTATTTTTAGATATTACTGTTAAATGATGCTGATTAAGGTTTTTGCTATATTTAGCCATGACTATGATGTCATTTTCTATTTTAATATCTGTTATGATTTATTTAAATGGGCCTTTATGGTTACAAAGGAATTTTATTTTTAGATATTATTATAAAATGTTGCTGATGCTGATTAAGGATTTTGTTTATTTTTAGCCATGACTATGATGTCATTTTCTATTTTAATACCTTTATGATGTAATTTCCATTTTTAGATATTACTGTTAAATGATGCTGATTAAGGGTTTTTTGCTATGTTTAGCCATGACTATGATGTCATTTTCTATTTTAATATCTTTATGATGCATTTAAATGGGCTTTTATGGTTACAAAGGAATTTTATTTTTAGATATTACTTTAAATGTTGCTGATTAAGGATTTTTGTTTATTTTTAGCCATGACTATGATGTCACTTTCTATTTTAATACCTTTATGATGTATTTAAATGGGCTCCCATGTATTTAGATTTTTGATTATTTATACATGTTACCAAATTGGTCCACATTGAACAAAAACGGTCCAAATTTCAACTTTATTACATTACATCAAACATTGAATTCTACATATTCTTTGATATATTGAAATTAACAAACAATTTAGTTTATGGATATTCCACCATAATAGGTAAATTAAATTTTTTCCAGTTCTTACACCACATTCATCCTGTGTCAGAAACCTATGCTGTGTCAAATATTTAATGACAATCCAAAGTCATAGCTGTATCAAGCTTGAATTTTGTGTCCATACTTGCCCCAACTGTTCAGGGTTCGACCTCTGCGGTCGTATCAAGCTGCGCCCCAGCGAAGCATTTTATTACCATCTTGTATTTATTGTGATATGTTATAATTAGCTGAAATATGAATAGCTGGTATCTGCTATAAAAACTATGAATGTTAGAGAAACGCATTGTTATAACTTTCATGTGTTTATGAAATCCTTTGTACTAATTGTTATTAATGATATGTGTTAATTTGATAAATTGCTCAATATATATTCCTGATTAATATATAGATGTATGTTTGTTAATTGTCGATTATATGTGTGGTTTATCTGGTGATTAGTGTTTGTTTGTAATTGTTGATGATTTTTTATATTCAGTTACATAATATATTAAACTGTGCCATAAAAATATTGCTTCAAAGTATCGTATATGCAAATGACTGAATATTTGCTTGTCAATGCATACATTCATATTAAATAAATCCACTTTCTGAAGACAAAATTTGGTGTGTGAACAGTGGTTATTATAATGCTGCTTTTTTTCTCCTGTGTCATTAAAATGAAAACCACAACCTGTTTTTCTTATGAAGTTCCATTTAACTGGATAATTTTTACTACAAATGTCTTTCAATTAGTGTTTCTTTGAAGTCTTCCATCACATGCACACTAAAGATCTCATTGACAATCTGTAAAATCTGCTGTGTTTGTAATATAATAGATTTTTTTAAGCCATAAGGGCTGTTCTAGAATATATGCATTGGGGGCATGAAAGGCACTTTTTTAAAACCCCAACCACCCATAAAATAATCGTTTTCATTTTACTTATAGTTCTTACAAAATTCTAAGGAAAATGCAACCACCCATTTTTAATTAATTTGTGTGCCCCAAAAACAAAAAAAAACCTTAAGAACCACATGAAATAATATGGCCAAACAATAATTTTCATACTAAAGTTATTTGTTGTAGTCAGGATTTATTTTGACTTGCAGATTTATGCTGATAAGTGGAAAAATTTGGTCACTTAAACAGGAGAATACTCTATGAAGTACAGACATTTTAATAGCATTGTGAAATTTAAATATTTTATCGACAAATAATTTAAGTTTGATAACAGACTTCATTTTTTTCAGTATTTTTATGTTGAGAATGTAATGACTCTCCATTTCAAGAATTTTCGAAACTTTGTTCAATTGATTTAGTATGTTTCCCTCCCGTGAAAATTAGAAAGTAATATTACAATAGGAATATTATGGAACTGTATTGTTGGATATCCATATAGGGCATTATTTGTTTGTTTACTGAACATTTTTGATACCTGCTGGACTTGGAGCTAATTTTTTGAAATGATAATTTAAAGGCTGATTTACATGCATTTTTTAAAATTTCTGTTTTAAGAAATTTAATTTGCTTCAAAATAATTTTTTTTATTTTAGATGTTGATATTTTCTTAATGTTAATTTTTATCACAATTGTTTTTTTTTTGGTTTTTTTTTGTTTCTTGACATATGTATCCACATTTTTGTGGTTTTCTCTTTGTGAATGTATGGTGATTTTATTTCTTGCGATTCAATTTGTTGACACTATTCCCTTTAATTTGAGGTGTTTGTTTATTTTGACTTAATGGGATGGTTTGAGATATATACTTATATTATAAATTATCATTTTTTTTCTTTTCATAAGTCCTCAAGATCTCATATCAGCTATAATAATACTTTGCTATATATCACATATCTTTTTTTTATAAACAATTTTGCTCAAATGCATACCAATCCTTTATCCATCTATAACATATTGCAATTAGCTGACCATATATATATATATATATGAAGCTTATTAATTATCTTGATACAGTTAACTCTCGTTGTCTCGAACTCGGTTGACTCGAAATTTCGGATGAGTCAAAGTTTTCTTTTGGTCCCGAACTTTGTTCCATATAAATATATGTATTTCGACTTATGATAAGTCAAAATTCGGGTGACTAGAAAACAATTTACGGTCCCAATGTTAACAAAAGCATTCAAAATTGATTATTTATCTCAAACTAATACACATATGTCAAAACATGACCTCGGGGATTTAAATGGACTGAAGAGTTAATCTGACAATACATGTGTAATTAAATTTCTGGTCACTGACCACTGTATTGATTTATGACATTCTTTTTCCACAAGTGTCTTTGATCACCATGATAAATAAAAAGTGATACATTGCTATAGTTTATGAAAAATTGTTAAATATGTTTTAAAAACAATTAACCGTAATCATACACTAATGAGCTTGGTTGTGTATAGAGTAGGGATTAAGACTTTAATATCGATAAGAAATTACTCTCTAGGCTAAAATCCACAGGAAAAAATTGTAACTGTACAAAGTAATAAATAAGAGACGAAAACATAAAATGTTTTATAATAATAAAAGACCATAACATACAAATATGTCGATCTGAGACCAGAATATCAACCCCCTACCCATATTCATCTGGATTTATTTTGACCTAACCAAGCTA